TATTACCAAACGTCACCATTTTTTATCCGCCGAATTTCCTTATAATCCCAAGCGGTAATCGGAATTCCAAGTGTCGTCTGCTAGAATGTAATCCAACGAATGAAGTCACGTGATCAACTAGCGGATTCTGTGTTAGCAGAAAATTTCTATGGAACACAAAGTGGACCATATTCTTATGTTATTTCAGTGACTTTTAGCAATAAATCACGCTACGTATCTTATTTTGTCAGTCACTATTTTTTTTTAAATCGTGGTTCTTTCAAGGAATTGTCACTAGTTATAATGAATTGATATTAAAGATAAATACTAAGAGAAGTTAATTATACCACCCGGTATCCATACAACGTGTTTTTCTAGACTTATTTATAGATCAAACATTGTACACGAAAATAAGTGACGCATTCTGACGCCGTTACCGAGTTGGTTGCTCATGAAATATGAGTCAAAGTGAAGGATTAATAAAAAAAATCGAAACAAACCAATTTTAATCATTTTGTAGAATATCTGAGGAAACATTTAAGACATCAAAGATTTTTTTCGTTTTTTTAACTTTGACGAAATTCGGTGTTGAATCCTTATATCCACGAAAATAGGTTACACCACTGTATAATAGAAGAAGAGGTGTCTTGGCCAATCTTTTTTTTAACTCCCAACTTTCTGGGCTAACCATCCTCAATAATTACCTTAACTTTAATCAGCATTTTTTTTTTATCAGTTTTCTTTCATACAAACCAAACAACTCAGTTCTTTGAACAGAAACAAGAGATTAATCAGCGTTTAGTTGATAATAATTACGTCTGGTTAATTTGTCTTAAAAGTACTTCCGCTTCATAATCGTCACGCAAACGAAAGTATACTTGATGGTCATTGGCCAAAAATGTTCTGTTCGAACGACATCATTAGTTTATTCATTATTATTGTAAAAAATAGGAAGGATGAAACCCAACCATGTTTTACTTGATATTAAGAAAGATCAAAATAAAAACAGCAAACCGCTACCTTCTTAGATACAGAGAAAGAGCTACTTTTGTACGATATCAGAGATTATGGTTTGCAACCTCCCATTTGAATATCACCACGAACGCATTTGGTTCTCCGTGCTCTTGAAAATTGAGACCCCCATTCAGTACACCATTGAGGAAGGGAACTGTGTGGAAGTTGTTGCAGCTTTGTCCATTTTACTTTTAGTGTCTAAATAAGAGGTTTTGCAGTAACAACAAGGTGTTTATATTTATCCCTAATATTTTGTTCAATGACATGATTTATTCGTTCTGGATCATCATAGTGATAAATGGGGGCGATTTCGATAGGCCTAATGTCGTGTGTTCAGTTCAGAAACAATGTCACGTGATTTTTCTACTTACAGTCTTAACAAATTCGTTGACGCGAAATTTGATACAGTGGTGTAACCTATTTTCGTGGATATAAGGATTCAACACCGAATTTGGTCAAAGTTAAAAAAACGGCTGTTTTTTGCAGGGCGTTCGATGAACGCCCTGCTTTGTTTTCTAACTGTTTTTTTTTTTTCTTCATCCCGGGATCTTAGTTCTCGGAAACGGCAACGGGTACGGCAAAACGGATTTCACCATGTTTTCTAACCTGTGGAGAATTGTGGAATGAATGTAAAACGAAAATTTTCTGAGCAACATGAAGCGACGCTAGCAACAAACAGAAAATCGGCTCAAGAGGGCATGTTTATCAACCGATTTTGATCGGGTTTCTTTCATTGTATTTCTTGTAACAAAGGGCAAATGATAGCAGTTAAAAATTTTTGATTTTCGAAAATTCGCTGCATACTTTTTTTTGCCGAAATTAATCGAAAAATACTATTTTGGTTATTATTTGGCGGATTGACTTGAAACTTACATAGTGTAGACCGCCAGCAAAGTGGAATAAAAGCACACATTCAAAATTTTTTCATTACTTTCGGTTTCGATGTTAGTACTTCCGGTGGCGTCACTTCCGGTGGAATTGATTTATGTCAGAAGTGACATATGCATTATATTACCAGCCTTAATACAAACCTTTTAAATTAAAAAAAATCGTACCGGAAGTAACATGTTTCTCGCCATATTGGTTTGCCTCATTTTTGCCCAAATCGATTCCCAGAATTCATTTTTAATCCGATTTGCGTAACGTTTGTGTCAAACGATTTGTTCAATGTTTGTCTACAAATGATAGGAAGCATAATTTTGATTTTCTGTTTTGCCTTTTCTGTACGACCGGATTGTTTTTTTCAAAGTTTGAAGGCATATATCTCATGACCTTGACCTTTGATGACCTTCATATTTACTGTGATGATAATTTGTGACCTTGTCTATCTGATGACCTTTTGACCTTTGGGGTCAGATACCTATTTCCGATTTTACAGGGATCTAAATATGGACCATTTTGAGCCTTTAAAGTGCTGTATCTCGGTCCCTAATAGAGATATGGCAATAATTCTTTCGATTTTGTAATGTAGAGATTCTCAGCTTTCCATAGATATATAACATGCATACCTTACATGCAAATTCAAAACTCCATTCACTTAACATGGGACTATTATTAGATAAATCGGCTAATTAGATTAACCTTGCTGTCAACCCCAACAGAAATCAAATTTTAAGTTGTTTTAAAGATACCCTCCCTTTTATATTTCTTAAAAATGATCTTTGTCCAGTTATGGTATAAAATTAAGCTCTCAGGTGGATTGAATCATGTCATACTTTAGTTTAAGCGCACGGCAGCGTATTGAAGGTATACCTCCACTTAATTTACCAACTTTCTTATTTACTATCCAATTTTCATCAAACTTGGTATGTATGTGTATAATCCAATTCTAAATTTGATGAAATTATCGAATTTGCGTAGTGCGCCTGCGCATTGCCAACTTTCTTATTTACTATCCGATTTTCATCAAACTTGGTATGTATGTGTATAATCCAATTCTAAATTTGATGAAATTATCGAATTTGCGTAGTGCGCCTGCGCATTGCCAACTTTCTTAGTTACTATCCGATTTTCATCAAACTTGGTATGTATGTGTATAATCCAATTCTAAATTTGATGAAATTATCGAATTTGCGTAGTGCGCCTGCGCATTGCCAACTTTCTTATTTACTATCCGATTTTCATCAAACTTGATATGTATGTGTATAATCCAATTCTAAATTTGATGGAATTATCGAATTTGAGTAGTGCGCATGCGCATTACCAACTTTCTTATTTCTTATCCGATTTTCATCAAACTTGGTATGTATGTGTATAATCCAATTCTAAATTTGATGGAATTATCGAATTTGAGTAGTGCGCATGCGCATTACCAACTTTCTTATTTCTTATCCGATTTTCACCAAACTTGGTATGTATGTGTATAAACAAATTCTAAATTTGATGGAATTATCGAATTTGCGAATTGCGCATGCGCAGTGCCAACTTCCTTATTTATTATCCGATTTTCATCAAACTTGGTATGTATGTGTATAATCAAATTCTAAATTTCATGGAATAATCGAATTTGCTTAGTGCGCATGCGCGTTACCAACTTTCTTATTTCTTATCCGATTTTTATCAAACTTGGCATGTATGTCTATAAACCAGTTCTAAATTTGATGGAAATATTGAATTTTTGTTGTGCGCATGCGCATTACCAACTGTCTTATTTCTTATCCGAATTTCAGCAAACTTAGTTTGTATGTGTATAATCGAATTCTGAAATTGATGGAAATATTGAATTTTTTTTGTGCGCATGCGCATTACCAACTTTCTTATTTCTTATCCGAATGTCACCAAACTTGGTATGTATGTGTATAATCCAATTCTAAATTTGATGGAAATATTGACATTTTGTTGTGCGCATACGCATTACCAACTTTCTTATTTCTTATCCGAATTTAATCAAACGTGCTAGGTATGTGTATAATCCATTTCTAAATTTGATGGAAATAAAAAATTTTTGATGTGCGCATGCGCATTACCAAAATTGTATTTCTTATCTGGATTTCATCAAACTTGGTCTTTATTAATTGACAAATATTCTTTTATTCTTAGTCAATATACTTTAAACTCCAGGCACTTTTGGATATTTAGATTTAGAGATGCAGAAAAGTATTTACATCAATATAATTGCAATAGACCATCTTCGTATGTACCTGAATGTCGTAACCCGCCCTGCATCAGTACTGTTATTAGAACAGTTCTAGTTTTTTTTTTTTTCCTTCACTCTGGGAGCTCAGTTCTCGGAAACAGCAACAGGTATGCAAAAACGGATTTCGCCACACTTTCTAACTCGTGGCTAACTGCGTACTGAATGTAAAACGAAATTTTTCTGAGCAACATGAAGCGACGTTAGCAACAAACAGAAAGTGGGCTCTAGTGGGCGTAATGATCGACCGATTTTGCTCGGGTTTCCTTTATTCTACTTCTTATAACAATGGACATATGATGGCAGTCGAAAAAATTTGATTTTCGCAAATTAGAAATTAATCGAAATATGCTATTTCGGTTGGTATTTGTCGGACAGATTTGAAACTTATATAGTGTAGACAGCCAGCATGGGGGAATAAAAAAACGCATTCAAAATTTTTGCATCACTTCCGGTTTCGAAGTTAGTACTTCCGGTGACGTCATTCCATTGGAATTGAGTTATGCCCAAACTAACATATGCATGATATTAGTGTTATTAATACAAACCTATTAAACTACAAAAAAAAAAATACTTACCGGAAGTAATAATTAGGCTGCCATTTTGGTTTGCTTCATTTTGCGAAAATTCCTATTCAGAGGCCATTTTTTAACCGATTTGTGTCATTTTTGTGTCAAACGATACTATAAATGTTTGTCTAAAATTCGCGGGAAGCAAAATTTTGATTTTCGGTTTTGCCTTTTTTATACGAACGGATGTTTTTTTTTTCATAGTTTGAAGTCTTATATCTTGTGACCTTGACCTTTGATGACCTTCATATTAACTGTGATGATAATTTGTGACCTTGTCTATCTGATGACCTTTTGACCTTTGGGGTCAGACAACTCTTTCCCTTTTTATAGGGGTCTAAATATGGACCATTTTGAGCCTTTAAAGTGCTATATCTCGGTCCCTAATGGAGATATGGCAATAATTCTTTCGATTTTGTAATGGAGAGATTCTGAGCTTTCCATAGATAAAATACATGCATACCTTACATGAAAATTCAAAACTCCATTCACTTAACATGGCGCTATTATTAGATAAATAGGCTAATTAGATTAACCTGGCTGTCAACCCCAATAGAAATCAAAGTTTTAGTTGTTTAAAGATACCCTCCGTTTTATATTTGTTTTATATGACTGTTTTATGGCCAGTTGTGGTATATAAATAAGCTCTGGGTGGATTGAACCATGCTATACTGTAAGTTGATCTTACAGAAGCACATTAAAGGGATACCCCCACTTAATTTACCAACTTTCTTATTTCTTATCCGAATTTCACCAAAATTGGTATGTATGTGTATAATCCAATTCTAAATTTGATGAAAATATTGAATATTTGTTTTGCGCATGCGCATTACCTACTTTCTTATTTCTTATCCGAATTTCACCAAACTTGGTATGTATGTATATAATCCAATTCTAAATTTGATGGAAATATTGAATTTTTGTTGTGCGCATGCGCATTACCAACATTCTCATTTCTTATCCAAATTTAATCAAACATGCTAGGTATGTGTATAATCCAATTACAAATTAGATGGAAATATCCAATTTGTAATGTGCGCACGCGCATTGCCACATTTCTTATTTCTTATCCGGATTTCATCAAACTTGGTCTTTATTAATTGACAAACATTCTTTTATTCCTAGTCAATATACTTTAAACTCCAAGCACTTTTGGACATTTGCATTTAGAGATGCAGAAAGGTATTTACATCAATGTAATTGCAATAGACCGTCTTATACCTGAATGTTGTAACCCGCCCTGCATCAGTACTGTTATTAGAACAGTTCTAGTTTTTATTTATGTCTTAGATGTTTCCTCAGATATTCTACAAAATAATTAATATTAGTTTATTTCGATTTTGTTTATGAATCCTTCACTTTGTCTAGAAAAACACGTTGTATGGATACCGGGTGGTATAATTAACTTCTCTTAGTATTTATCTTTAATATCAATTCATTATAACTAGTGACAATTCCTTCAAAGAACCACGATTTAAAAAAAAATAGTGACTGACAAAATAAGATATGTCGCGTGGTTTATTGCTAAAAGTCACTGAAACAACATAAGAATATGGCTCACTTTGTGTTCCATAGAAATTTTCTGCTGACACGGAATCTGTTAGTTGATTGCTAGTTGATCACTTGACTTTATTTGTTGGACTACATGTAAATTATTAATCCTTTCCGGAAATCCATGAATAATAGGTTTTCACGAAATTAGGTTACTTGACTGTAATTAATAATTCAATTTGAATTACCGCTTTAAAACAGTTACGAATAGCCTTAACTAGAATTACTTAAATTAGTTTTTCTACTAAAACACAAATCTCAGTTAAATCTACTGCTTGACTGCATTGATTCTTTTCACTAGTAGGCCCTAGGCCTATTCAAAATTAAATGACCGGGTCATGTACGTCTTGTCACATGATAAACCAGCGTTTATTTCCCGATAATGATAACAAGATCCACATTCATTCCTTATATTTACATTGGTTTATCTTTTGTGATAAAATACGCTAAAATGTTCTATTTTGTAATTGTAAAAATACCCGAAACTTGTTGCTTAATTCACCGATATCTGTCAATCAAGTTCACTGACCCGCCCCTAACAATATAGTTCTATAAATAGACAGTCTTATTTGGATGAATTATCAAATATTTATTATTCCATTGAAATATTAACAACAATTGTAAATTTAAATAAATTGTAAAATTAGATTAGACTCTAGGTAAAAAACTTGGGTCAATCCTTGTTTTTGTTTTCGATGTATTCATATGCCTGATTGTCACGTGACAAACTACAGTTACTGGAAAATAAACGCCGGTTTGGCTAACTGGTTTATTGAAGGGGGAGATAGTAGAAATGTAAATATAGTGGTGTAACCTATTTTCGTGCATATAAGGATTCAACAATGAATTTCGCTATAGTTAAAAAAAACAAAATTTTTAAAAAAAATAGTGACTGACAAAATAAGATACGTAGTGTGATTTATTGCTAAAAGTCACTGAAACAACATAAGAATATGGCCCACTTTGTGTTCCATAGAAATTTTCTGCTGACACGGAATCTGCTAGTTGATCACGTGACTTCATTCGTTGGACTACATTCTAGCAGACGACACTTGGAATTCCGCTTACAGCTTGGGATTATAAGGAAATTCGGCCGATAAAAAAAAAATTGTGACGTTTGGTAATAAGTGAAATCCGCCATTTTTGTATTTGTCAAAGTATACATTAATACATTTTACCCTGCTTGAAACTACTGGATTCATTCTACTAGCTGATATTGTAGAGATAACACATGTTTATCGAAACAAGCCAATGCGGAGGTCATGCGAGGTTGCACATGTGAATTATTAATCATTTCCGGAAATGCACGAAAAATAGGTTAGCACGAAATTAGGTTAGTTAACTGTAATATAAGGATTCATCACTGAATTTTTCAAAATTAAGAAAATTTTGTTGTCTTAGATGTTTCCTCTGATATTCTGTAAAAATTATAATTGGTTAGTTTTGATTTTCTTAATGAATCCTTCACTTTGACCCATATTTCATGAGTAACCAACAAAAGAAAAATAATACATCATTCTAACTAATGACAATTCCTTCAAAGAACAATGATTTATAAAAAAAATAGTTACTGACAAAATAAGATAAGTAAAACATAATAAGTATATATTATAGTGATTTATTGCTAAATGTCATTGAAACAACATAAGAATATGGACCACATTGTGTTCCATAAAATATTTCTGCTGACATGGAATCTGCTAGTTTGTCACATGATTTTGTTCACTGGAATAAATTCTAGCAGACAAGCCTGGAAATAGCGCCGGACATCGGTCATTGACCGAAATAGCGATGTCTATGAATATAACAGTGAGCATAATACGGTTCGGTAGTCGCGTACGCACTAGTCGGAAATTGCAATATGATTTTAACATACAACTCAAACGATTGGTCATTCAGGTTAACAACATTGACATTGCTCATGTCACATTCAAAGTTTCATTAAAGGCTGCTATTGCTTAATTTTAAATGTAAATTCAGGGTGACTAGGCTCCTTGTGTAAAAATTTACCGCGTGCCAGGTCTATACTTAGTAATGGTTGAAATAAAATGTCAAACTGTCGCCTTTTTAGGATTGAAAATGTCCAAATTAAACACCAAAAAACGGTCTGTAACTGTGGAAACCGTCAACAAATGGAAGACGAGCCAACTGGCTGAAACTTTTCCAAATTTATGGCTCAAAGTCCACCAAAAAGACGGAGTCGTCCTCGAATTTTGCTGCCGCACATGTCAGATGTTTTTATCGCGTATAAAACAGATGAAAGAATTTCGTCAGGATTTTATAACTGGCTCTAAAAATCATAGATTGAGCAGTCTGAAGGACCATGCTTATTCCCGTTGCCATAAGATGTCTTATGAACTTTTTTGTCGTCAAAATGCCAATAGTGGTGGTATCATAAATACAGATTGTGATCCATCCAACATTGATAGCACCAGTGCCAGTATATCATTATCAGGTTCTAGAACGTATTCCGATAAAAGCCAACGAACCATTGGAGATTGTTTTTCTGGATTAACTAATAAAATTAAAACCCAAATATGTAAAAAGATGGAAATAGCTTATTTTGTCGGGAAGAATGAACTACCATTCACAATGTATGAAGCCATTGTAGAACTGGAATCAAAACATGGCGTGGATCTTGGTGTGGCCTACACTAACAGGAAACAATACTCTGAATTTGTTTTGCTCACCGTTTAGAACTTGCCCTAAAATATGCCTTTAAAGAAACTTTTTTTCAATCTATTGACGAAATGCTTCTTCGTGTTTATGCTCTTTATCATAAATCATCAAAAAAAATATCGGAACTTGAATCTTTGATTGACATATTAAAAGAGAACATAGTTTGATGAAGGGACATTTAAACCTAAGCGCTCTAATGGAACCAGATGGATTAGTTTCAAGCTATCAGCAATGCATATTATGTTAGATAAATTTGGTGTTTTTATACAACATTTGGAAACTATGGCTTCAGAAGGATCCACTAAAGATAGGGATAAACTCATTGGTTATCTAAAAAAATTGGAAATTAGTTAAAATGTTGTTACAAATTGCTTTGTTCATTGATTTATTAATGCCTGTATCTGTGTTGTCAAAAAACTTTCAAAGAGAAGATCTGGACATTGTATCTTCCTTGAATTCTCTTAGACAAGCTAAAGAGAAAATCATACAGTTAAAACACAAAGAGACCTATCAAATGGCTAGTTTCAAATTCTTGGATTCAAAATTGTTCAAAGGTGATGATTTTGTGGAGTATCAAAACGTAAGATTCAATAAGACAGAATTTGATAATGCATATGAACAGATAAAAACTGACAAAGAAAAATTAGTGGATATGTCATTAAAAAATCTGCAACAGAGACTTGAAGGGGAGGATGATATTATGTTCCAGAAAATAGCTAAAATATTGGACACTCAAAATTGGAATTCATTGGCGATTCAATGTGAAAAAGAAGAATTTGCTGATGATGATATTGTTTCACTTCTGGAACATTTCTACCTAATTTTAGTAGCCAATGGTGTTGACATTCCCATCCCAGAAATGCTTTATGAGTGGCATGACTTAGTTTATTTTGTTATTAATTACTTGAATCCAGTCAGAAATGAATATAGAATAACTTGGAAAGTTATCTTTTCTTCTCCTAAAGCAAAGAGCAACTGGAAAAACATTTTAATCTTTATAGAAATTCTCCTTACCTTTCCAGTAAGCAATGCAAAACTAGAAAAGTTGTTTTCCAAATTAAAAAGAACGAAATCTGAAACAAGGTGTTCATTGAAAGAGAATAGACTTTGTTCTCTATTGCATATTGTGGAAGAAGGTCCACCACTAACAGGCGGCTTCTGAAATTTGACAGGCGAGGTATGCCATCAGCCTGTCATTTTGACAGGCGACCTTCTATTCCTTATTTCCAGGCTTGCTAGCAGACGACTCTTGGAATTCCAATCACAGCTTGAGATTAAATGGAAATTTGGCAGATAGATTATTGTGATATTTGGTATAATTTAAATCCGCCATTTAGTATATATTAGAAATAGATAATAAATTTGACATAGCTTTGAAATGATCCGAAAAAATTTTTTTGGCGTTGTAGAGACAACCCATGTTTATCAAAACATGCAAATGCAGAGCAAGGTCACACAAGGCACACAATATTTGGTTTGCACAAAATTAGGTTACTTGACTGTACTGTTAGTCTGAAAATTGTTCTCTGTAATAACAAATTTTGAAGTGTGCCCATGTTGATATTTTTGTCCATGCAAATTCTAAGAATAGCTGCCAATCCATTTCTCAGTAATGTACAAAATTCAAAAAACTTTTTTCTTTGCTCCGAAAATCAAGTTACAAACAGTTACAATAGTGTTAACCAGGATTTTGAATCCCTTGTGCTTCATTCTTACTGTACGAGCAGATATTGTATCAAAACTATTCACGGGACATATATTTCTATGACATTATTGTGACGCTTAATAAGCCCAGTTCTACAGATTGAAATTAAAACAAAATGCCTCTTTAAAGTTAAACACCTAAAAAAAATGTTTAAAGAGATAAATTTCGATGGTAAACTGTGAAGATAAGCTTTAGTTTTCTTATTTGATAAACTTAATTTGGTGCACAAAGCCGAGCAGTACATATTATGAACTGCCTGATACCTTGACTTCATTGGAATCTTTTCTTGTATCACAATGCAGTGGCTTGATTTGATTGTGCGCTAGAGAGTACTTAATTAATTAATTAATTGAGCCTTTGACAAACATTATGCTTATAACTGGCTTATTTGTGGTTTACAGATTTTCTGTCGAGGGCTCTGATTGGCTTTATAATCCAATCGGGTGAGCCTATTCTATTGCCAGTACCGAATATGGAAATAGAAAGAACTTTCACTTAACTTGAAATTGAAGAATTATTCAACAAATAACAATAAAAGATCAGGGATAATTATGTATTGTTAAAAGTGTAAAGCATGTAAATTGATAAATGCAGGCAATTAAGAAAGAAAAAAATCAATCTTGATATCATTAAAGAAAATCTTTAAAGATGTTAATCTTTTTTTTACATTATTTTAGATGTCTGACGATTTTGATGTAGAAGCCATGCTTGAAGCACCATACAGAAAAGAGGTAAATTTTTTGTGATATCTTATTTCTGAAATTATCAGTATCCTGACATGACCTGTTCCTGTAACTAGCTGCACAAGCGAAATGGAGGGAAATGAAACTGCCATTCAGCATTTAAGCAACCATATACTGAACTTTCAAAGGGAATGTTATAAATATATTGTAAAAGATATTTCTTTTCTTTTGTTCTGAATGTTTAAAAACAAAAATCAGTACAAAAGGTTACGTTTCTTTTCTACTGTAGATCTATCAGTGTTTTAAGTGTACTGCCGTCCCTGACCACATATGTTGTAATTGGAAAGGTATAGAAATTGTGAATTTAAATCCGCAGGAAGAATAAATAGTTAAAAAAGTGATACATCAACAAAATTAAAAACTATTTTAAATGAAATGCAAATCAGTACAAATACTAAAATACCATGTAAATGAATATAATTACGTTAAATAGCCATTTAATTGAAAATATGAACAGTTACTAAACCTGAACTAAAATATCTCGTCGTAGGCCTCAAGAATGCTGGGTAAAGCTTTAAATGTTGGTATCTATCATCAATTACAACTCAACATGATCGGACAGAAATGAAGGTCACTGAACTGTATAACAACTGTCCAGAAGGTGAAAATATCTGAAAAGTTTATTTTCTGTTTTTTTTGTAAACAGGAAATATTGTAAAGAAAACCTTTCAAATTTTCTTTATGAAAATTCTTAATAAACCATTAATATTTGGTGCAAAATATTTTATTAAAACATCTTAGAATTTGATGTCCAAATAAAAATTCCAAATTGATTTGAAAGGTTTTCTTTGTTCCTTAAATGGCTTGTAAAACTTTATTCTCTTTATTCCAAATATTAATTTTTTATTTTATCTATCTTTTTCCCCTTTGTCTGCCGTGTGTTATTGATAATGTGCTGTTTTGGAATCACAGGAAGAAGATCGTGATAGAGATGATCAAAAATATGAAAGAAGTTCCTCTAGAAGTAAAAAGTAAGTATCAACTGTATAATTCACTTAGATTCATATCTAAAATTTAAAGGGATTTTAAAGAGGTTTTCTAAATCTGATATCAAAAAGGAGCATTATACCTGTGGTTTTGGTAATAACATTAACACTAAGGGTTTTATGATTTATGACATAGCTATCGCCAAGGCAAAAGATATTTTCAGCTTTTGCAATGATGAAGTCATACAATACAGCGTTTAGTTTTAGCAGAATGACAACTCTGACTGTAAGTGGGAATGTTCCAAATCCATGATATCAGTGTCCAAGATTAAGTTTAGAAAACCTCTTCGCAATTCTTTTCACAAAAGTAACAAGGTGGGTTTTGTGTCCAACATAGTTTCTTTGTCATAGGTCGGAAAACTAACTTCACATTTTCCATGTATTTTAACTGCAAAATTAGGATAATTGTACACAATGCAGTTGATGTCATGACTAATATTTCAGTTGTAAGGAAATGCTCCGACTTTAAAGGAATAAAACTGAAAAAGTTATCTTGTCCTTTTCTAATGGTTACTGGTAAGTTGTAGATAACGTTAAAATGGACTCAACTGATTGTCTAAAGTTGTTCCTTTCGTTTCTATTTTAGGCTGTGGATTAAAAAAGAAAACTTTTGTGGCTGACTAAAGACTTGTTTTCTAAATTTGTTCAATGTAATTTGTGCTTATAACTATATATTCAAATTTAAAACTGTTATAGGTTCTCTTTGGGATTTATGAGATTATTATTGAATGAACCAAGTAAATGTGATTGCTTTTGAAAGGTATGTGAGCCAAAATTCAGTTGGTTCAAAGATCTGAGAGCTAGGTTGCTTTCCTTAGTTTGCCATCGATGAATATTTGATTATCTAGGTCTGGTAGTCTAAATTTACATGGTCTCCAGTCAAGACAATTCAATATATATTGGAATACATATATTTTTTTACGGGTCATATGGCTTACTGAAAGTATGGGTTGTTGTATATTTTTAGTAGGTATTGAAATTCCACCATTAAGATTCTTATACTCTTTTAATTAAAATTCCATCTTCATTCATTTTGCCAGATCATAAGTAAAATTGAAGAAAAATATTAACCAGAATATTTGTAAATATTTTGGTTGATTAGTTGATCAAATATGGCCTTGAAATGATGCTTTTAAAGTTTTTTTTTATCAATTGATTGTTAAAAATTCTTTCAAATTATATTGGAAGGCATCAATAAAAAAAAAAGTGAAGCTTGTTGGCCTCAGTTTTGTACAATTTCTGCACAATCTTTTGAACTTTGTCAGATCTTGAGAATTTAATGTGGCCAATATGGCATGAAATGAAAATGTATTTCTATTGAATTCGTAGTTTGTAGGTATTAAGTTGCCTACTTATAAAACCTTTACATGCTTCAAAATCTTCAGGAACATGTTATCCATTTCCAACTTTGCTTGTCTTCGAAGACTTATGTTATACTGTTTATTTTTTAAAAGTATAATCCTGATGTTAATTTATTTTTAAATTTTCAGGAAGAAGAGTAAAAGTAGAAGTCGTTCAAGGAGCAGAAATAGAGATAAAAGAAGGTAATTTCAAATATATATTGTCATGATGCTGCAACAACCTGTGCTGCCACAATAGTTTGACATATGATGGTAGAAAGCCACCATATATTTAAAATGATAGAATTTAAGGTTTTTCAGAAATGTGCTGATTATCTTAAAGGAGTATTCATTTCTAACAGCAGGACAACACTGGACAAATATTTTTTTCACTGTTAAAGTAGTACTCAATACAATTTTTGTTTTAAACTGATTTGTTCTATTAAATTTGGCATGTCACTCTTCAAATACATATAGCTTAATTTTGTATTCTTCTTTCTGGTATATGAAAGATGAAAGCATTCAACGACTGCATGAAACACTGGCAGTTTTCGACTTAGAATTTATGAATTCCAGTTTAAGAGGTAGATAACTAATTTATATTAATATCCTAAATTAAATTAATATTTATTGTAGAAGTCGTGATCGAGGAGACAGAGATAAAGATAGAGATAGGAAAAGAAGTAAGGAAAGAAGGAAAAGTAGGTCAAGAAGTAGAAGTCCTAAAAGAGATTATCGTGACAGACATCATGACAGATATGAGAGTAGGAGACACGATAGATATGATAGTGGACGGTATGATAGCTATAAAAAACGAGAAGAAAGAAAAATGAGTAAAAGTCCTATAAGAATAAGGTAACATTCAGACCCATAATCATATATCTTTTGATACTCTAACCATTGAGTAAGGAATTTCTTGAAAATCTGCTGGCATGAATATTTGTCAAGAAATACAATACAATGCTTTTGACTGGTTTGTAATTATCAATATTGTATTTCAGCAATACTGCACCAACACCGGAATTATCACCAGAAGAAAAAGATGCCAGAACAGTTTTCTGTATGCAACTTTCTGCCAGAATTAGACCAAGAGATTTAGAAGAATTCTTTTCATCTGTGGGAAAGGTAATATTTTTAAAATGTAACCATATATCTGAAGTAATGTATAAAAAATGTGTTTTACACCTGCATACAGAGATTCCATTATGGCCTTTTTCAAAGTATTGAACCATAAGTAATTTTTTTTTTAAGCTGAGATATCTAGTATTTTTTTATGGTTTCAGGTACGAGATGTAAGATTAATAACAGACAATAAAACCAGAAGATCTAAAGGAATTGCTTACATTGAGTTCCAGCAAGCTGATTCAGTTCCCCTAGCTATAGGTTTATCAGGACAGAAATTACTGGGTGTACCAATCATTGTTCAAGCTTCTCAAGCTGAGAAAAACAGAACAGCCATGCCAACTCATATTCTACCTAAAAGTGCAAAAGGTCCTATGAGATTGTATGTTGGCTCTCTTCATTATAATATAACAGAGGAAATGTTGAGGGGAATTTTTTCTCCGTTTGGGAAGGTAAATTTATATATTTTTCAATCTTTATTTAGTTAGGTATTTTAATTTTTGGACTAACTAAAGTATCATAATAGTAAATATTAGTAAGATTAGTTATTTTATTTCATAAAATACAAGAGCTACATATTTTGTTTATTGTAAAAAATAGTAACTCTTACATGCTAAAGGTCATAAATTAAATTTGTGTTCATTTCCAGATAGATGATATAAAGTTGATTAAAGATCATGAAAGTGGAAGATCTCAGGGCTATGGTTTTGTGACGGTAAGCTGGTTTAATGTGGAATACAACATTTTAACCTTTGATCTCGCATATGAAAACACTGAATCAAATTCAGTTTTAACCAACTTGGTTTGTAGGTATATGATTCAAAAACCAACTTAAACAAATTTTGACATAACGCTTTTTACAATATATACCGATTATCAAATTCTATGGTAATTAGTATTAATCATCTAGTCGCGTGTCACTGAGTTCTTCCAACTGGTTTTCCAGATTAGCGGTATTTATGGCACGTGATTGGTGTTTAATAAAACCTCATCATATAATTGCTACAGAACGCATCAAACGTTATCCATACGAATTTACAGCATGGAAATTTGTGTTTATAGATAAGCGAAACTGGCTTCCAGATTAGTATTATTCAGGATGACTAGTTGATCGGTGTTTAATAAATCATTATTTGAGAATATGCAGTTTATTTAATGATCACGTGTAAGCTATCTTTCGTTCAGTAATACTTGAATTAAATTTTTCGTTCATTCGTATCCGAATTCAATCAAACAATTGCTACAAAGATATGGCACGGTAATTTATGGTTATAAATCCTAATTCTAAGGAATGATGTTATTACCATGCTTTAATAATGAAATGAATTTTAAAATTGTAAATAATCAAGAGTTCTTCACAAGGTATTGGCCCTGTAAAGTACACAGGTCTCTCATGACACTTGACAGGTTTCCTAATAGGAAGGAATATAACTCTAGTTATGGAATGCCATGTTTCAACTATCCAGATTTTCGTTCAACTGCACGATTTTATCAGGAACGGGAATGTACTGATAAACGAGGCTGCACTGTACAGATGCTCACAGCTGAGTGCAGCCTACTAATGAAAATTTTATATGATTAGAATCTTTGATTTTTACAGGATATGAATATATATATATATTGTTTGTAATTTTTAGTTTCCAGAAGCTGAAGATGCCAAGAAAGCTTATGAACAATTGAATGGATTTGAATTGGCTGGTCGACCAATGAAAGTTGGACATGTTACAGAGAGAATGGCTGAAATTCAAGCAAGTGGAGGATCAATGCTTGACGGTGAAGAAATAGATAGATCTGGTATAGATTTAGGTGCTACAGGAAGATTACAACTTATGGCTAAATTAGCTGAAGGTAAACTTAAAGAACTTATCTTTCCAAAGCAGTAGTTTAGATAATATGTTCTCACATATTACAGCTTAATAAGAAAATACGTTATATCTGTTTTGTGTCATATATTGACAGAAAATGTGCCATTCATGTCAACACATGCTCCTTAGATCCACCCTTGTGATTTTATACTTACTATATGATCTGATAGTATGTTTTAAATCAGCAACTTTACCGGTTGTATATCGAGGGTGCTTGAGTCATTAGCATGTAAGAGAAATATACCTGAGTGACTGATGTTTTGATTTTTATATACAACTAGTTCTTAGATAAAAATCTTAATCAGTACCTCGGACAGTTTTCATCCAATTTCAATGAAATTTGATGTGAATATTTATAATGATGAGATCTTGGACAAGTAAGAATTTGGCTATCTTTCGATGAATGGTTTTTGAGTTGCCCTTGATTTATGAAAAACGCGTCAAAATTTACTTGTGAACACAATGGAGAGTATAGTTTTTATCCAATTTAAATGAAATTTGGTGTTATCATTATAAAGATTAAATTTGACAATTTTTCAATCAACGGAATTTGAGTTATTGCCCATGACTTTGTAAAAATACATCAAAATTTGTTAGTGATAGAGGTTACATTTTATGTCAGAATTTTATTAAAAAATGTGTGTTTAAATCAACAATATCTTGCAATAATTAGAATTTTTGGTATGATTTGACACAGATAGGTGACTGCCCTTGATATACTGAAAATGTATCAGGAAAGTGGGCGTATCTTGCTAGGCAACCACTTGTTTTCTTTAAGCTAAATGACTATTTGTATATATATTTTTTTCAACCTCTTTTGTAGGAACTGGTTTTCAGATTCCTCAATATGCTGCCAATGCTTTGACTCAGGCTGGAGTACCTGGTGTCCCTCCAATGATGCCAAGTGGAATGCCTTCTTCAACATTACCTCAAGCAGCTCAGTCAGCTCCTCCAATAGCTACACAGTGTTTTATGTTGTCCAATATGTTTGATCCATTGACGTAAGTTTGACTTAAGTTTATTGAAACTCTTAAGAAGGCACAATTCTTAACAGGTTTTGACAAAATGTCATGCAACAGATTTTGTTTGAATGTGGCTACAAGATGTAGGTGCCAAAAACCATTTATTTGGTGGCTCATATCATCCAAGACGTGATTTAAATAAGATGAAAAATCAAGGCCCTAACTGTTAAATAAATTTCTATTATAAGGTGAACAAAAGTAGGATGCAATATCCAGTTCAAGCCTTGGTGTTTCAACTTGATGATCAAGAGAAATGTTGTTGGTTTTTTTTGTAGGGAAACTAGATTGAATTGGGATCAAGAGATACGAGATGATGTTATTGAGGAATGTAGTAAACATGGTGGTGTATTACATATATTTGTTGATAAAGCTTCTCGACAAGGCAACGTTTATGTTAAAAATCCTACCATCGCTGCAGCTGTAGCTTCAGTTAATGCTTTACATGGAAGATATTTTGCAGGTATATTTATGTGTGATTATAAGCATGGTTCAATCTATGAGAACCTTTGCAATTTGTAAAAACTGATTTGGAATTATCACCTAATGAACCCTATTGAAATATAAAATCTTAAATGAAATGTTTATGAATGACCAAAGCTGAGGTATGTTTTGTTTTTTTTCAGGTCGCATCATAACAGCAGCTTATGTACCAGTACCTAATTATCATGCGTTGTTTCCTGAATCTGTACGTGCTAATCAATTAATTGTACCATCATCACAAGCTCTCCAAGCGTCTTATGCTTCAGGATTTTCTTCAGCAATGTCACAACCAGTTTTATAGACCTCATTATTCCAGTTTAAAGAGTTTAAAATATATCTGGAAAATAATTTTACTTTCAAAATATCCAGGGCTTTACATCAATAGTAGTTATATTTATGACCAAAGTGATTTTTACTGGCCTTTGTTCATTTCCATGGGACGAAAAAAGGAAGAAAATAATAGTTGTATTTGTTTTCTTATTATCAGCTAATTTTAATACTTAAGATTCATATTGTTATTTTTTTTTTAATGTCATCAAAATGTTGAATGTACAAATTGAATAGGATAGTAATCAAGATGTGATGGTGTTATTTTATTTTGTATATTAAAGGTTGTACATAAAAGTTATTAGAATGTATTGAAGATCAATTGTCTTTAATGGTACTGGTGATTCATTTTCTGTTCCCTTGACAGAACTATTGTTTATAGACTTATACTTTTCAGCAGTGCACATTTGACTCACCTTTGCCAATGTTTGTTAGTTTCCACAAACTGAGCAGCATTCTATTCCCAATGTTGATACGAAAATCTGACTTCCTCTTTTCAAAGGCAGCGTATTTAAAGTTATTTCAGTTGCCCTGTTTCTGTAATCATGCGGTTGCAAATTCCCTTAGTCCAGTAAGATACAGGAAAAACAATTCCCACATAACTTTAGGAATGCAAACAAATATTTTAATTTTTTTTAAAATAAGCAAAATGTGCCATTTAAAACAATTGATAAGCAGTAAGCTCAAACTCAAACCTATATATTGACACCAATTATTAAGACCATCCTTGCATACCAATGCTTGAATATGTTGGCAGAAAACATAAATATAGGCTTACCCAGGGTGTTATGAAATAAGAGCCCAAGATAAATACCTGTTCTGAAACAGTTGAGGTTTTGTTCATTCCTATTTTAGTTAATGCTATTAAAGAGGGGTGGGGCTCAAAGTTCGAAACGCTTTGTATCTAATAACAACAATATTACTATTTAATAATAATAAAACTATTAAAATGAATAACAGCCAATTAAAACAATATTTACATATTATCTAAACCTTCAAATGCAAACAACAATATAGCACTTTAATTTATAACATCAATTTACAACACCTACAGGAGACAAGTAGTTATTATAACAATTTCTTTGTGCACAGCATTTATAGTTTTTCTTAAGCTTAACTGAAAATAACAAATCAATGATTGCTGGTAGAATAGTCCATGATATATTCAGAATTAAAATAAATAACAGTGACTGTAATGTCATCACGATAAAATCTTGAGATACTATTTGGCAAGGTTAATTGTGCTGATAACTGACCATGGTCTTGGCCGATGGCATTTCTAATCAAATGAGTTGCCACATTCTCGTCCACATTTTTATTAGCAAGTCCTTTTTTACGTTGTGTCAGAATCTTATTTATTTCTCCTAATGTCATATTTTCTCGAGGCAATGTAAAATGAACTAATACTTGACGGCCATCCATATGACCTGCTACTAACTGGACAACTTTCTCGGGAGAAACCATATCCCACAATCCATCTGATGCTAAAACCAGGAATTTGTCCTTGGGTGTTAGCTTGTGATGAGTAATTTCAGGTTCAGCTGTTAAATATGGAGGAGTATTATAATTATTTGGGACTAATCTATCACCATAAATACTGATGAAGGAATGTGGATACTTGCTGGTATTCACTATATGTTTCAAATCTTTAGCGTCCCACTTATATCTGACGTCTCCAAATGCTCTTAATGGTGCAAGATCACCAAACAGTCTTCCATTTTTAAAAATATTGTTTGATTCATTTGGATGCCTATTAAGAATTCTATTTACTTCTTCTTCGTTGTTACCATCATGTGGAGTTGATAACGGAATGGCTTCCCAATGGTCATCCATTTTATGCACGCCCAAGACAGCACGACAATCACCTGTATTAGCAATAAACAAATCAATACCATCAACATAGGCAACACACGAAACTGAGCCAGCAAAAGCAACTGTAAGTGTTTCAGAACTTAAAACTGGATTTGATGCATTTGGTAAAGCTTCAGTAGAGATGTCCTCATCTAATCTCATAAAAGCATTGGCCAGAGCTTCACGTCTAAAAGTGTCATCACTAAAAACAGTTAATGTTTCTCTAGCAAATTTTTTCAAGCTTTTATCATAGAGTTCTTTGAGTTGTTCATGTTTATACTTTATACCTCCATTGTACCAATGTAAAAGCTCGGTAGTCAGATCTATTTCCCCATTTTTTACCTTTTCAACTATCTCTGGTGGTGATAATGCCACAGCTAAATAATTGAACAATCTTTCATTCAGTGATTGAGCACATGCACATCCAGCATGTCCATCATGAACAGCAAATAAATATTTATCTCCATCAATAGGGAGTTTGGCTTCACATCTCCTATCCTCAATTGGGTGGTTTGAAGGCAGTTGGTTGGTTTCAAATGCACGGATTGGTCCCGATTCAACAACCTCAGAAGTTTCATTGACTCTTAGTATAGTAGTTACTTGATGTGGTGATAATCTTGGAGACTGGTTGTCATCTATTCCTCTATTTCTTGATAATCTAAAATTACTTCGCCCACTTGTTCTGGCATTTTTACCCGCATTGCTGACAGAAAACTGTCTGCTCCACTTCTGAATACCCAACTCGGATCTAGGCCTACATGGGCACTTCACTACAATGTATCTATGAATACACTTGAACATAACGTTCATTTATGATATTATTTCACCAAAAAAGTCTTTGTGTAGATTTTGCTTCAAATATAGCTTGTAAAGATAATCGAATTTTGTTGACTACATCATTATAGTACATTATGACATTCAACTACTACCATGCTTTCTATGAATGAAAAGGTGGCGCTGGCGTCTGTTTATGTATTAATGTAAGGTCAAGGTCGAGTCTGTAAAACATGGGCATCACATTTGTTGGGCTTTCATAACTCTACTAAAGTAATTTTGATCCCCTTTGATTGCAGTTTGGACTAGGAAAACACAATGTTTTCCCGACTTTGTTTAAAATCTTCTCGTTATGTTTCTAGTCAGGTCACTGTCACGAAGAGAATGTTTCGGATATCTTCCAATATAAATTCTCAAACTGCAGCCTCAGGTATAGAATTTGATTCCTTTACATTTACATCTTTAGTGGTTTTAGTAGTGGCTATAGTCAGTAGCATTAGATTTTATTGTTATGAAGTCAGAAGCCTGTAAAAATAGTTTGTTATTATAAACCAAAAATATATGAGTGAATATTTTATTGATGAAATGGACAAAGAGCAAAGCATTGAAAAGTAGCAAGACATTGTTAAAAAATTGTTTGTTTAAATACAAACACATGTTGTGGAACAAAAAAATTCCCATGATTAGATTTTCTAGAATGATTTAAGTTAGTGTCTTTTTAATTTACAGCACAGTCAACATCTAGTAAAGATGTAGCAGAAGACAAAAGACCATTATATTTAGATGTCCAAGCCACATCTCCACTGGTAATTTAAGTTTTACTTGATATAGGCCTAAATGTTAGTTCAATGAATGAAATATTCCACACAATTACCAAAAAAACCTTACCACCTCTTCCTCTGCCAGATTTCTTTTACTTATCTTTCTTTAATTATGCAAGATTGGATAACTGGAAATGTAACGAAATTAAATTGAAAGGTTAACAGTCGGTTAAAATAAGAATCAATGGATGTTTATACAAAAAGTTCTATCATTCTAAAGTTTAGCATGGAAAAGAATATACATTGTGTCAAAAAGCAATTGTTGTGTTTTATGATATTATAGATTCTCCTTTCACTTGAAAACTAAATTTAACAAATCAAGAAATAGAATTACTATATGATGCTATGATGTATTTCAAGAAGGTTTGAGCAAATAATTCACATTTTTCTAAAATGGATTATAAACAGGTTTTCTAATAAATTCATGTCATGATTTGCACTATTTTCAATCAGACATCTGTGGTTCTTGCAAATCTGTTAAAACTAGGCATTTTATGACATTACATTCACAATGGTCCTTATATCAATAGCAGCTTTTGAAATAGTGACATCATAAAACGCTCTCTCTTAGAGAAATTGCAAGCGCCACAGACCTCTGAAAATTGGAATGGCGCAAATTGATTCTATTTGTGTCCCGGACACAGATAAGAAATTTAGAGAACCTCTTTACAATCCCTTTAATAAAAGAAGTTCAAGTGTTGGCCTTGCAAAGTTTGGCAATCTATTGAAAATAAGTTGTATCACAAGATTGCAGAGAATGGAACAATTTTACAATCCACAGTTATATTATATAAATAGGATCCAAGGGTTTTAGATGCCATAATGCCATACCAAGTCAGTTACTATGGTAATCCACATTCTAGGACACATGCATATGGATGGGAAAGTGAAAAAGCTGTTGAAAAAGCTAGAAAGGTAAGATTAACATCATTAATACAATTTAGTAATCTAATCCGTAATCTATTGCTGCCTTTTATATGCCTTTATTTTTAGGTGTATCATAAATCTCTCTGCAATTAGTTTTAAACATGATAAAGGTTACGATTTCAATCTTATTAAGACAAAACTTGAAAAACTCTTGGTTATTAATGAGGTTTTTTTCATTATTGCCCTTGACTTGGTTAAGAAAATTGGCAATTGTTTTGATGGAATTAATTGATTAAAACTTGGTATGCTTATGTATACAGATGAAATCCAACGAGTTTGCTTTTCATGGTTTTTCAATAAATTATTTGTTAGTTATTGCCCTTAACTTAGCCTAAACGTGTCAAAATTTGTATTTATATTCTAAAGCTGTCCAAAAATTTCCGCTTGTTTGTATATAGCCTTTTGTCATTCACCTTCTTTCACTTGTTTCAGCAAGTAGCTGATTTGATTGGTGCTGACCCTAGAGAAATTATTTTTACAAGTGGGGCCACAGAATCCAATAATATAGCAGTAAAAGGGGTTGGAAGATTTTATAAAAGTAAAAAGAAGCATCTTATTACAACACAAACTGTAAGTTTATCAGAGAGCATTTCCTTGGTAATTCTATATAATTTGGTAAAAGCAGATGTTATTGGTACTGAGAATGATTTGTTTAATTCTACATGAGCACTGGGTATCTTAAGTAACACAATCTTTGTCTTTGTAAATCTTGCATAATTTGAATTTGTTTGTATAATACTTATATTCATTGTTGTTTGAGTTAGATATCCTGAGATTTCATATCATTTATAAGAAACAATGAAAATAGTCACAGATATTACATTTTTCAGGAACATAAATGTGTACTAGATTCCTGTAGGTCACTAGAAGGAGAAGGTTTTAAAGTATCATATTTACCTGTCAAGCAGAATGGTATTATTGATATGAAGGTATAAATCAATTGTCCTCTCTTTCAACATTATGTTTTTGATTAAACGATGTTAAGAAAGAAATGATTAAATAAGCTTCGTTTATGAATCTATCTATACATGCATATTATAAAATGAGAACATTGGGCATAAAGAAAAAACACAACCGTTAGCTTCATAAGCCAAATTATTAAACTTTTTGATTGTGTAGTCAAATTTATATCTGATAAGAATTATTAGATATTTCAGTGAGCATATGTATATTTTAGTTGTTAGAAGAGACTATAACACCAGAAACATCATTAGTATCTATAATGACTGTTAATAATGAAATCGGTGTCAAGCAACCTGTTGCTGATATAGGTAAGAAAGTTTTCGATTATAAGGTTTGTTTTACTTTAGATACAGGAGATATAACTGAATGGGATGAAAAAGAATTTTGAGAAGTGTTTATTTGATTACATTACAGACTGCATTGTTGTTCATTTTCAATACATTACAAATTCCTAATTGAAATTGAAAATCATAAATGTTCAGACATGCTGATTTGAAAATGCCAGATATTTTACTAAATGTTTGTTTTCATACTTGATATATCGTTACAGGTGAAATGTGTAGATCAAAGAAAGTATTTTTTCATACTGATGCCGCTCAAGCTGTAGGTAAAATACCTATTAATGTCAATGACATGAAGATAGATCTTCTATCTATTAGTGGTCATAAGATATATGGTCCAAAAGGTACATTACTATTGATAATATTACCATAATTTCTGTGTTATCAGAATTTCAAATGCTGAAACTGATCTTGGGAACATTAATGATGTACTGGAAATTCACTCCAAACTGTCATGCTGTGTTTTATTTGATTGCAGGAGAACCAGATGTCATATTTAAATAAAATTCCCCAAATCCCAAAATCTGAATTGAACTCTACCAGAACAATTTCACTTTTCATTGCGGTACAATTCATATAGTATCAAAACTAAGACCGTAATATTTTGACCTAAACAGCACAGAGATATTAGACATCTTTTCATAAAAAGTAGCTTCATAGGTTGAAACATTTTGAAGGAGCGTCATTTTTATAATTCTGTGATTCTTATATATTTTAGGGGTTGGTGCCCTATATGTCCGTAGACGTCCAAGGGTTAGAGTTGAAGCCCCTCAATCAGGTGGTGGACAAGAAAGAGGGATGAGAAGTGGAACTGTACCTACACCACTTGTTGTTGGATTAGGGGCTGCTTGTGAATTAGCTATGGACGAAATGGAGGTAAGAAAAAAGTAGCTAAATTCCCAACCACAATAACAAAACAGTAGTAAAGTAAATGAATACTTTAATTATTGTGGCCAAAATATACTCAAATTTTACAAATTACAAACTGTTAAATAATTACTAAAAGAACAAAATGAACAAACATTACAAAAGGAACTTAATCTAATCCGCCAAAGAACAAAATGAACAAATATCACAAAATAACTTAATCTAATTCAAATACAAAGAATTTAAATTCAGGGAAATAGGGCGGGAGGGCAAAATTAAGACTATACGCATCTGTAACAAGTAAAATAATGAACTCACTATTAACGTACTGATATAATGAAAACAAGATGAAAACCAATCACAGGTATTGAAAGGGTTAATCTGAACAGTGCTGACCTAAACTAATTTACATTTAAACTCATTGTACGAAGCAAAATCGAAATATCTTCATTTACACTTAAACTCACTCCACGAAGGAGAAAATAAAATAGTTAAAGGAGTTAAACATTTTATAGATAAAATACTAATCTTACTTAGATAAGTTTCTTTCGAATTAAAAGTTTCGATAATTGTTTCATAATCACATTTATTAATAATGGTAATTGATTATTGTTCATAACTCACAAAATTGTTAAGAGAATAAATTATACTATAGTAAGTGATGATAATTGTTATGTATTATTTCAGTATGATTCTAGAAGAGTGAAAGAGTTATCAGACAGATTGTTAAATAAAATTATGTCCAATATAACACATGTTATAAGAAATGGGGATCCTCATGAAACTTATCCTGGTGAGTTTGCCATCGCATCTGGGATAGAGAAATTTCTACATTTTAAGTTATGATGATCAAATAGGCAGTGCATTGAACAATTATCTAGTTGGAATTCTGACAAATACTATATTTTCAAAAAATATTTTGAAAGGTCTACATGTTATAAGTTGAATTGTTGAACTTTGTCAGCCTGTGAAAACTTACCAAGGAGCCGCAGTGGTTCAGTGAGTTGGACGTCTGGTCACTGACTTGAAGGTCCAGGGTTAGGTCAAGATAATACCTTTGGAATTTTCAACCAGTTTCTCTCCTGTCAGCCATGCAGATAAGAGGGGCTGACATGGAAAAAGTGTCTAGTCATTTGGATGGGTCAATAAACCGAGGCCCTGTGTGCTACAGGCTGTGCACGTTAAAGATCCCTCGACAATTGGAAATCGAAAAAGAGCATGCTTATGCTGCTGTCCTGGCAAAATTTACCTCATTGCACCCTGCATCAGGGTTGGGTTTTGGCCAGACAAAACTTGGCAAAACCACCCAAAGTAGTAAAAACTGGTCAAAACTAAAAGTTCAATGGATTTCACATTAAAACGCTCCCATATGTTTTGTTTATCACGGTAATTGAAGATGACAATGTATATTGTTGAAACGTCGTCTGTTCCGTTATTTAATGTGATCTTTACCCCTAAATGTCGCTAAAGGATTAAATATAAGTTATCTGTCAAGTCTGTCTTGAACTGTTGCTGATCCAACTGAGTAAGAATTAGCCTCATCATATATTATGTTATAAATAGGTTGAGTAGTTTCAAGGATACTTGACCAAAAAATAATACTATCACCAAAAAGTGTATGAAGGTTGAATATTTCATACTGGTGATTGTTACTGTACTGCTAAATATATTTATTCAAAATCAAAGCTGCCAGTGGATGTATATTACCTTTCCTGGCAAGCTATCTTAGAATCTGTATGTAATTTAACTATGTATAATATTTTTATTCGATAATTTTCATTATACTATCTATACATAATACATATATGTAATTTCATTGTATAATATAACAATTATAACTTGGAATTATTGTGTATGATTAATTGCCTTGGATTAAAGAAAAAAACTTCAACAAAGTGTTGCTTTTGTTAGTTTTGACCACTTTTGTCCAATCTAGGGGTTTTGGTCTAGACGGTTTTAACCAGCCAGGTTTGACCGGTTAAAACCGTCCAGTCCAAAACCCCTAGACATGCTGTTGCCCGTCTTCATTAGCCCACATGGTGCAGACGTAAAACTCCATTCATTTCATTTCATTTTGTGAAAACTTCCCAGAAATGAAATAGGTGGTAACAAGTTCCTTCTTTATTTGAATGTTCATCTTCATAAGTACATGTAATGCTATTATTTTAATGCCGAATTGAAGTAGTGTTTTTTTACGATTTCCAGGTTGTATAAATTTATCATTTGCCTATATAGAAGGTGAAAGTCTTTTAATGGCTATTAAAGATATTGCTGTATCATCAGGAAGGTGAGTTATTTCATTGTCAACATATAGTTCTTTAATTAATCATTTATTTTATTATATTTACATTTCTACTATCACTCCCTTCAATAAACCAGTTAGCCAAACCGGCGTTTTTTTCCACATTCATTCCTTAAAAAACTTCTAAAGAGTAAACTTGGTCTGTATTTATTTGTTCATTTGTGTTTCAGTGCATGTACCTCAGCATCATTAGAACCATCTTATGTACTAAGGGCTATTGGAACAGAGGAAGATTTAGCTCATTCTTCAATCAGGTATGGTTATGAAATTTATTTTTATTCTGAAAAATTGAGGTTAAGAAAGGGGAGGAAATCCATAATCCAAGGATTACTTGACATTCATTGTAAGTTTACTTAAAGATGATATCTTTACACATATTTTCTACTTGCTGATTTCTATCTATTAGATTTGGTATTGGTCGATTCACAACAGAAGAAGAAGTTGATTACACTGCTGATAAATGTATAGAACATGTAACAAGATTAAGGGAAATGAGGTATTCTTCTTTATATTTATACTTCCTCAGCTCTAAATTGTGAGCTCCCATGTCAGTCTGAACGTCTGTTATATTATCTATTAATTCTTAACGTTTTGAATGGAGTTTCATAAAATTTGTCTTAAAACTGTTACAATTTTGAATTAACCCTGTTTCAACCAATTTCATGAAATTCTGTTAAAGATGGGTTTCTTTATATTTATACGCCCACATGAAATAGAGGCGTATATTGCCATCACCCATTTCCGTCCATATGTCCACAATTGCTTGTAAACACTCTAAAAGGCACAATTCTTGACTGATTTTGACAAGGATGATCCCTTTAGACAATAAAAAAAATTCAAAAATATTTAGTATGAGTAATTGCCCTTGTCCTTGAAATGCTGTAGAAGGTGCAATTTTTGAAGGATTTTGATGAAGCTTGGTGTGAGTGTTTGTTATTACTGAGGATGAACCCTATTGAAAATCAGAAAAATTGAAAAAGTAGGAGTTTTTGGCCTTGTTCTTGAAAACGCATTCAATTTTAGCTTGTAAACACTCAAGAAGGTTCAATTATTGACAGATTTACTGAATGTTTGTTATCACCCAAGGATGATCCCTATCAGAAAAATTGAAAAATATTAAGTATGAGTTAATGCCTTTGTTCTTGAAAATTTAATTTTAAGCTCGTGAACACTCCAGAAGGCACAATTCTTGATGGACTTAGATCAAACTTGGTGTTAGGGTGTATTGAGACGAGTCTCAATGAAAGCACTGGCCTAGGTCACAGAGCAATAGATAAGTCTATTGATTATGTGAAAATTAGTTAGTCATTAGTATGATTTTAGTTGAAAAGACACACATACAAACATACACTGCATGTTATATAATATACTGTATATAGCCATGGCACCAGTCCTGAAATAAGTATCCCCTGAAATCTAACTTAGAAATCGATTAATTTATTGATATAACATGATACATTTATATGAAGAAATATCTGCTCCTAGGATGAATGGACATTGTTCAATGGTTCAAGTCTACTGTGAAAGAGGCCTACAACCTAATGTTTTGTGTATACATGGAGAAATTTGTTCTGAAGTTCCAAGTAATGGCGTTTGACTATTATGGAAGCTTTGGTAGCTGTAGAATCAAATGTCGTTATAAAGGGTATTATCTGGTTATCATGTTGAATGTTGAGTCCATTTGGCCTCACAGTCTGTAGTTGATCGATTCAATAACTTTCGCGTTGTAGACGTCTAAGCTTAGGTTTGATGTTAGGTGATGTAGAAACTGTTTCTATAGGCATGATGAGAAGGTCATCAATGGAATGATCTCCGCAAGAAATTAGGTTATTCAAACAATTTTCCGTTCTTGTTATGTTGAAAAAATGGGTAACATGTATGTGTTCGCATGTGCGACAAGTAGGACCTCCACAGGGATATGAACTGAATCCAATAAAAGGTGGAGGGGGGTCATTTTTTCTCAAAATGTCTGAAAGTGTGTCATTCTTAATTTTTCGAAGAAATCTTTTGGAATAATCCTTCTCCCTTAATTTGTCAAAATCAGCCTGTTGGGTGCAAATTCTATGAAATCTTAGAATTTGAGATTTAATTATTCCAGAAAAAGTGTGCTTCGGGTGGAATGAGCTTTTGTATAAAAGTTGGTGTGTATCAATTTTCTTAAAAAATACTTTAATGTCTAATTTTTTAGAAGAAAGAAAGTTGTTGCCTTTGAACACCGTGGTGTCCAAAAAATCCATCTGTTTTTGCTGATATTTGCTGTCAATTTCATAGGAGGGTGGTGGTTGTTTAAATTTCGAAATATTCCCAAAATGTTCTAGGGTATCGGACCAAATGATAAAAATATCGTCAAGAAACCTTCCATAAAATAAAGGTTTAAACGGTGAGATATTTTCTATCTCCCACTCGGCCATAAAAATATTCACATAACTAGGGGCAAATCGTTTGCCCATAGCAGTTCCAGATGTTTGTAAATATATTTTTCCATTAAAAAAAAAAGTTATTGCGCGTCAGGTCGATCAGAATACGGATATCAAACAAATGCCTTACGGACGGGGTCAAGACCAACATTGTTGTTCAATGTTGGTATACATACTAGTTACATCCAAAGAAATGAAATACGCGTGTTCGGGAATGTCCAATTTCTTGATTTTTTCAACGAATTCGGTTGTGTCTTTCAGATAAAAGGGATGTTTGCATGTTAGTGGCAACAAAAAGTAATCTATGTATTCTGAAACTCAGTATGATTCCTTTAGGACTTTTGTTGACTACTCAGTTTCGGAATTTTTATGAATTTTCGGAAGCATGTAAATGTGTCGTTGGCGAGGCTCGGTGGACGCGGAAAGGTAGTCATATTGCTTTTCTGAAATAAATTTCTTTTTTACCAAATTTTGTAGAATATTGTTTATTTCTCGCGCAGTTTCCATAAAAGTAGGTGTAGCAAGTTGGCGATAGTGATTTAGATTGTTCAGCTGTTCATCAATTTCAAAAATGTAGTAATCGCGATTTTGAATGACGCAGCAACTGCCTTTGTCACTTTTCCTGATGATAATGGTTTTGTCATTTTTTAGATTATTGAGGGATTTTCGTTCAAAATGGGTAAGATTGTTTTTTCTTCATATAAATTGTCGCAAATAGTTTAAATATTTTGGTCAATTGCATTATCTGGTAGATTCCAGCCAGATCTATCCGTAAATTTGATTCGTTTACCGCAGCCAAGTTTTTCGCGAAAGTAATAATTCAATTTAAATGTTCGCTGAACTTCAGTTACCGACGTCAAAATTGGTTCAATCGAAAATGGTTTATGGGTGGGTATAAAGGTTAACCCNTTTGTCCAGAAGTCTTTCTTCAAGAGGAGAATTAAATTGACAACAGTTTGTCGTAATTTTGGAATATTTCCCCCCCCCCCCCCCCCCCCCCCCTGCGTTTAGTTTAAATGGGAGACCCAATTTAAATATACAGATTTGGCAGTGGGGGCCCTCCAGTGGACGAGATCTAAATGGGTTACCTCGATCATTCCATTGAATCGCGGCATAGTCTTTGCAAATGGAGATGGCTTATGAAAAAGAAGATCTTTCTTAAGTTGGCGGCTAAATTTGGAGGATGGAAGAAACTGGTATCTGGGTGACGAATACGTTGGCTGATGGGAATTTGGTTTTGGCGAGGGATAGCAATTCCAGCATCTGTCTGTGGATGGATTCACCTGGTTCATTCTTGTTGTTGAGGCCAATATGGAGAATTTGGATGGTATTGTTGTTGGATTAATTTTTGTAAGGATATCGATGATGTGGTTAATTTTGGCTCCGGGATAAGATTCAGCTTGGGTGTCCTGGTTGACCTCTGAAATTCGGTAAATATTTGAAGATCCTATGATAATGGTAGGTATGGTTACTTCAGGGAGTGTATATGTTGATTTGTTCTTGTTACTATCATGGCGACGAGGATGGTTTGGTGATTTAAAACCTAAGCTTAGACGTCGACAGAAGGTAGAATTGGTTGATAACTTGGAGTTTTCGGGTTGGATCTAGGTCTTGATGGGGTAGCAGGTGAACTTGTAGGTAGAGGTCTAACAGAATTGGAGATTGGAGTAAAAGGCGATGTTGGTAAATTGGTGGTATTGGTTCTTTTGTTTGGAGTTGGTTGTGGGTAAGTAGAAGTACTAGGTAAGGAAGTAGGTGATCTCTGTCGCTTTCGGGAGGATGCTATTGGTTGGTTGGTAGGTGGTTGAGCTTGTTTAGGTGGAGAAGCTGAAGGGTCAACTATCATATCTGCATCAATACCGGAAGTCGAAATAGGGTCAGGATTTTTAAAAACAACCAATATTTGCGAGTATTTTTCAAGAGTTTGATTTTGGAGTCACTTATAAGACTTTTTTGCCCAATTGATCGCTTCTTTAGAGTATTGATTAAAATTTTGTTCAGAGAGGTTGTGTGACTTTATCATAGTAATTTTGTCAGCAAGCATTGAATCATAATGATTCTTTAGAGCCAATGCCACGTCTTTGGCCCAACCTCTATTGACGGCGGCAATTTTTGAATTCCACGAGTTGGATGACCATGGCGATTGTTGTGATTATGGGGCTGATGATGACGGTAGAAGGCTGTTATGATAGTTAGGTCTAGCTCCATAATAGTCAAAGCGTGAAAAAAAAAACAATGGTCCATTGCGCACCAAGAAATGAGATGATTCTCAAAAAGAGTGAAAGAGAGACTATCTTAGTTGTAAAAATAAAGTACACAAATTTTTTTACATCGGTCGCAAAATCAGAGAGAACGAAAAATATAATATGTATGAGTTATTGCCCTTGTTCTTAAAAAAGGCATTCACTTTTTAACTCGTAAATTCTCTGAAAGGTTCAATTATTGACAGATTTTGTTGATATGTGGTGTGAGTGTTTGTTATCACCCAAGGATAAGATCAGAAAAATCGAAAAATATTTAGTACGAGATAGTGCCCTTGTTCTTGAAAACGCTTCAATTTTTAGCTTTTAAACACCAATCAAAAGTCTATTGCAGAATATCCTCTTGATACTCAATTACTAAATATCTATTTTGTCATTTCAGTCCATTATGGGAGATGGTACAAGAAGGAATTGATTTAAAGTCTATTCAGTGGTCTCAACATTGATATTATTAACAGTTATATTAATAACCATGGAGAAATGATATTTTAGCTGGACTAAGACTGATTTACCTGAGATTTATGGTCATTTGATATTCTATTTGTATATATTAATACTGTGAGTGACATGTTTAGAATGGATATGAATGATTAACATGAATGTAAGAATACTACTTGTGCTGTTTAATGCTATTTCTTGTCAACCTTGTAAATATTTTGTCATACATCATGCAGGGAATAATGTTTCTTTTGATCTTTTTATGAAATTAGGTCTGTTAATGCAGTCAAATCAGAAATTTAAATGAAATAATGGAAACTTCCATTGTCACCCATGTCCATGGTTCTGTCCCCAATAGCTCGTTAACACTCTGGGAGGCATGGATTTGGACAAAACTTGGTGTGAGTGTTTTTTATCGCCCAACGATAAACTCTATTGGATTCAGAAGAAATCTAAAAATATTTAGTACAAGTCGTTGCCCTTGTTTTTGAAAAGGCTTCAATTTTTAGCTTTTAAACACCCTAGAAGGCATAAATCTTGATGGATTTTGACGAAACTTGGTGTGAGAGTTTATCACCCACGGATAAACCCTATCGAAAATCAGAGAAATCAAAAAATATTTAATATGAGTTATTGCCCTTGTTCTTAATAACACATTCAACTTGAAACTTGGTATGGATGTTTGTTATCACGCAAGATGAATCTTATTGAAAATCTGAAAAATCTTATTCTTGAAAACGCATCCAATTTTTGGCTCATAAACACTATCAATGGCACAATTCGTGATGAAATTTAGTGAAATTGTTTATTATCACCCCAATTACTTCAAAAGAAGTGTATGACTAAAAGTTGTTTATTTCATACTTGGTTGAAGTTCTGGAACATTGAAGCTCAAATGATTTTGATCTCAGAAAGATAACTTGGGATTTAACATCCATCTGTCACCTGTAACAACTCCTTTGTTAATTATAATAATGTTGTTCATAATAGATTGGATACTAATATTCTTTATAAAACGGAAATAACCAGTATACTGTATAATGTAATATATTAAATAAAGATAATGTAGGTATTTATCTTGATTTTCTTTAAGTTCTTAAGGTGTAAGTTTTAGGCCTTAATGGAAATGGAATAGATGGACTTATCAACACCAAAAATCAATACCTCTTGTCAAATAGATTATAATATCAAAACAACTCATTTGGCAAATAGTGTATTTATTTTCTTATATGTGCTCAAGGTCTTTGTATGCTGCTTTTTACTGTTAAACTCAGTAGGTCTAGAAAATAGGTAAAAAATTGAATTCACTTTTTTTATAACATACATAAAATAATATAACAAAAAACACAAAAGGTATATTATGGTATAACTCACTTCTTTAATATCAAAGCACATAACGTTTCAACACAATTTACACATGTTGTCATCAGATGAAATGAAGTAGTAGGGGTAAACATGATATATAACAAGGAGGAAGCCATGTACAGAAGAAAAACGGTAATGAAGACAATGAGAACAGTACAGACAATAAAGTGGGCAAGGACATTTCCTTGTGTTTTTTGTTATATCTACTCTCCACTTCTAGATGTTGTTCAAATCTTATACATAAAATGATACTGACAACCATTATCCCAGTTTTAAAAAAAAAAAAACATCATTTTGAGTATCATTTTTATAGCAATTTTGCTCAATCAGCAGAACTTTAGCTAAAAACATATTGTGTCATGTAAACTCTTGCATTATATTTATCTTGCAAATGATTTACCAGATTTTATCCTTGACTAGTAAATTCGAGTTCATGAACTATGTTATAATTTCTGCCTATACTGCATTTGCCAAACTTAAGAATTATATGTGTGAATTGCCATAATCCACAAAAGGTTATTATTTTTCTTACCATAATCACACATACAAGACAATAAGGACTGAACACATTTTATGAATCATTTCTGTTTATCATTTGTTATGTTTAAAATATTCCATAGGCCTATATAGATTCCATAATCAGTTTAAGATTAATTATCATTGTGTAGTCCCACTTGCATCTTATATCTGTATTTGTATGTATTATATATATACTCAGAACTCATTAATTGAAAGAATATGGCTCCATTGGCTGCTCTGCAAATACTATAAATTACATAACAATAATTTGTTTCATCTGGAGAATTTATCAGTAACCTGACACTGGTTTCTTTTCACAAAGTTATCGCTCCTGGAAAAATACTTTAACCAAAGAAGGTACAAATAGCCTAATAGTCAGATACACGATCGTTTAGTCTTTAATTGACATTACACGATTTACTTTATAATTATTTGTTTCTGGATAATCGAAATAAAGGACAAGTGCCCAGTATTTTAATTGAACATTTTACTAAGGGGTCGAATGCGGAGACGTTGATCAGTCTTCAAAATGCCGCGAATTGATAATGACATCAAGCTGGACTTCAAAGATGTTCTTTTTAGACCAAAAAGAAGTACAATTCGAAGTAGATCAGACGTAAGTTTTGTATTTTAATGTTCAAACTCAACTAGGTTACAAGGCCCACTACAAAACCAGTCGCAGACAAACCATTCCCACTTGTATCTTGTAAGGCTATTCATAATATTCATTATCATTATCAATCATGATGTAGTACTAGTAACTAGGCCTACTACTTTTCTAATATTATATATATTGGATTATACATATTTGTATTGTAATGATTTGTGTCACTTCTTTAATAAAATGATATTTTTTTTTTCTTAACAACTAGCAAACAAGCAAGGGTTTAAATAATTACATTTTACAATCATTATAAAAGACAATTGTCCAATTCAAAAAGTTGTCAACTGTAAATTATTGAAATAAAGTAATTAAAAGATTAATTAGGATGTATAAAAGGAGGTACATCCACATTGTCTTTCTTAATCCAACTACTACGACTACCAACAACTACTTAGTTTGCGATATCAGCATCCGCTGGAAGCGAACGTTAACTTGTCATCTACCTACCTACCATTGTCTTTCTTTCCTCACCCTTTACATGAGAACTGATTTTACCTCACTCTAATTTGTAACAGGTCTATGTAAAAAGTAAGCTTACTTCATCCAGTGACATTGACTTCTGTTAAAGAATAACGTGTTATCTTTTAACCACCTAATCTCTAATTTGTGATGAATTAAACAATTTAGTGAAAAGATTCAATTTTGTTGCAAAGCTATATTAGATACTATTGAAAATATATAAGGTAAATAAATATTAATACCCCTGTATCACATTTCCTATGACATATTTCTTCACCTCAAATCATGGCATGCCTTACAAGAATATTGCAATTTCAACACAAATCAGCAATGTTGAACAAGTCCAATTGTTCATGCTTACCATCAGATTACTTATCTCTGTGAATATCTATCTAAGAATAACAATGCAATTTATTCCAATAATGGCTTCCTGATATTATGTTAATCCGTCACAATAATTGATAACAGATTTTTAATTAATCTTACAAAGATATATGTTAATTAGGGGAGGAAACCATTTCAAATAGGGGTGGAAACCACAAGGAAATAAAAGGAGGTGAAAACTACTGGAGGGAAACCAATAGGGAGGAACATATGTAAAGGGGGAAACCACTACATGCCCTACTATTCAATGTCAATGTTGCCTATTTCACATAAAAGCCTAGACTACTATTTGACTACATTGAGTTTTGAATTGAATTTTTTTCTGTCATCTTATAAATATTCAAAGTAAAATTTTCAACTTTATGCCATTTGCCTTAGTAGAATATCTTTGGGTCCAAAGAAATATAAGGTTCAATGATTTTACATTTGAAATAGACACACTGCCTGCCCTGAAAAATCGGGTGAAAATTACTGACTTGTAAATTCCCCTTTGTAAAATCCTGTTTTCACAAATAGCCTATTAACTTTTCCAAAATGGCCCCATGATAAATATTTTGTTATAGGCTCCATATCAAACTTATTTAACAAAACATTTAGAACATCAAATCTCTAAATGTCTGAAATTTACTAAGTAATTGTAACTGAAGCCTTTTTTCTAAACAAACCTTTCCTGTCAAAGGCAACAAATTTTGGACATAGTAATTTAGTGCCAGGCCTATTAATTAATACAGTACTTGAAATAAATTCAGTATTGTACTAGGATTTGTTAAGATTTATCTTATGCATTTCTTTTTTTATTGACAGGTTGACCTGACAAGGTCATTTTTATTTCGTAATTCTGGTCAAAGTTATACTGGTATACCTGTAATGGCAGCAAACATGGATACAGTTGGTACTTTTGAAATGGCTAAAGTCTTATCAAAGGTAATTTCATCATAGCAATTATCCATTGATAAGGGACCTACAAACTGTTAATGTAATAGATCTTGAGGAGAACAATACAATACAGAATACATTTAAGGAATTTATGCAATGCATAGCCTCATCCATGAGTCTTGATCAGCACTACAGTGAAAACAATATGACCATCAACTAATACTTTGTTTACTTTTATACATGTACTTATTGCAATAATATGTACCTTGTAATGAATTTATTTATTCTAATAACATATTTTGTGTTTTGACTTTCTAGCATCTGATGTTTACAGCTATACATAAACATTATTCAGTTGATGAATGGAAAGAATTTGCTGCCCAGAATAAAGCTGCCTTGCCGGTAAAGAGGGTTTTTATCTCTGACTTTTCACTTTATACATTTGATGGCACTAAAGCTAAACTTTTAAATGAAAAACCATTCCTATATTTAGTTAACTGAAATAAATACCAAAAGAAATAACCAAGAGTAAGTGATGTTAATTAACTGTCATTTCATTTATATTGTATATTTGTATGAGCTATTGTCTATTATATTTTACAGCATGTAGCAGTAAGTGCTGGAATTGCTGAAGGTGATTTGAAGAATTTGAAAAATATAATTGAAGCTGTGCCAGATTTACAGTTTATTTGTTTGGATGTTGCCAATGGTTACTCAGAGCATTTTGTACAGTTTGTAAGGGATGTGAGAAAAACATTTCCTAAACATACTATTATGGTAGGTGTTACGTTATCACTGATAATTAATATGTACAATTTATGTTTATAAAAGTAATATCATGTTTTCTATATGCTAATAGAATGAATTTTGCAAAATGAATAGATCAAATTTAAAATTAGCAATTTTCCCTTTATTTGTGTCATTTTGATATAGCTATAACTAGTTTGATACATTCATTATAAATAATAATTCAGTACAATATCTTCATGGGCCGTATATTATAGAGGAACAAGAGGATATTTTCTTTCAAAATAATTTAACATAATTATGTCACATATATGATTGTATGATAGGAAGATAAAGCAAACTTAAGCAAACTTGTTATACTAGTTATATTGTTCAATCTATATGTTAATTATGCTTGGTTTTTATCACATTCAGATTCAATTGATTCTATTTTCTCTGTCCTAATGTAATTCCAGAAAAAAACATGACTAGAATTCAACACCATTCAAGCTAAGTATTAAGTTAGTGGTTAAGTGAATTAGGTGATTAATAGAACATAAATAAATAGATACATTTACATTTAAGAATTTTAACCAGAAATATTTATAATTTTTCCTGTTATATGATTGATTTTGTAGGCTGGAAATGTGGTAACAGGTGAAATGGTAGAAGAATTAGTGTTATCTGGGGCTGATATTATAAAAGTTGGTATTGGACCAGGCTCAGTATGTACTACACGTAAGAAAACTGGCGTTGGATATCCTCAATTATCAGCTGTTATTGAATGTGCTGATGCTGCCCATGGATTGGGTGGACATATAATTTCTGTAAGTTTTCTTCAAATGATTATACTGTCGAAATCAGTCGAAACATTTATGTTTTTTTGATCATACTAGTAAATTTACACTTGCTTGGTTTCTGATCCGAACCCCATTTCGATTATATTTCTTCTTACAAAGTTTTATGGAAATCTGTTGAAAATTGAATGAGCTATAGCATTTTCAATATGGGAACAATCAGACATGGATGCCTATATTAGACATCCATATAGAGAGATGTAGAATACATTGAACATATTCTACAAGAGTATGATGTTGTAGGATGGTGGTTGTACTTGTCCTGGTGATGTAGCTAAAGCTTTTGGAGCTGGAGCTGACTATGTTATGATGGGTGGTATGTTAGCTGGACATACAGAATCTGGTGGAGAACTTATAGAACGTAATGGAAAGAAGTTCAAACTATTCTATGGTATGAGTTCTGCTACCGCTATGCAGAAACATGCTGGTGGTGTAGCTGAATATAGGTGAGTTAATATTTGACAGTTCAAGTATGTCAATCCATCCACTTATTTATAATGTCAAAGAGAGTATTTGAATATGAAGTCTTTAAATGACATTTAGCAATTAAAGTACGATAGACAAAATTATTATTATAAAATAGATTATCATTCACTATTTTTGCTAATTTTAGGGCATCAGAGGGTAAAACAGTACAAATTGAATATAGAGGTGATGTGGAGAAAACTATACAAGATGTATTAGGTGGTATTAGATCTACCTGCACATATGTTGGCGCATCCAAACTGAAAGAACTGAGTAGAAGAACAACTTTTATAAGAGTCACTCAACAGTTGAATGAAGTTTATTCATCAGTTACTACTCAGCATTGAGCTCAGAAAATTCCATTTTTAATTTTGTAAATCCCGTAAGCCTAGAAAGTTCTTTTCACGGATTATTTGAGTGGTTCACTATGGAAAGATTCCATGATACAAATCATGTGAAATCATTAATTTTTTTAGGACTCAATTTAAAACAATATTATATTAAAACTGTCAGTGATGTTACTTAAAACTGTCAGTGATGTTACTTGAGGTATTAATAAAGAAAAGTTTCAATGATAATTAAGTAATGAAGTTACACTGTTAATTAATAGAGAAATTTGGTGCCCATGAAAATATATGATTTCTGACTATCCTCTGATATTCTGTGTGGTATAAAATATTTTTAGAAGTTTGTGATGTGTTGTGTATGATGGTTCTAGACAATGTTATACTTGTCATTCAGTATATGTATACTAGTAACTGTATTTTCTAAAAGATGGATATTAAGATATATATATTCAGATCATGATATCTGATACCATCTATTGTACATCACATTCTGAATTCTATTGTCAGTATTACCTTATTGCCATATTTTTAACTTTAATTTTTATTGTCTTAATATTGTTATCAATTTCATCTTGTATTTGAATTGGAAGATGTGGTATTGTATTGGATTAAAGTTTATTTTGTGTCAAATCATTCTAGTTGGTATCTTTACAAAATGATTGGAAATCCTCTCTTTATTGGTTTTTTTCTGCCTTGCAGTCAAGATTCTAGCACAAGAGTAGAACTTTTCCTGCTCACTAGCTAAATTCCCCCCCCCCCCCCCCCCCCCCCCCGCCCCCCATTGCCTATTACTACATTAGGGAACGATGAAAAGCATAATGTCAATGTGCAACATATTATCATGTGTAATACCTGCTTCAAAAGCAATAGAAAAGATAAATACCATGTCAACAACTCAGATGTTTATAATATATTATTAAATTTACTATAAATATCTACTTAATACATTTTTACAATTTGCATATTTTTTTATATAATCTCATAACAAATAATAATGTTAAATAATAGATCTTTTCAAGGAATAATATTTCAATGTACATGCTCATAAAAACTTTATTTAATTCTGGTTTAAAGTAAAATTCTCCACAGTTATTTCTCAATATGATAAATGTTAAAATGAAGTATGAATGTATATTAAAATCAATTTCATATAAAAATGACTAGCTTCTTTTAAAAAAAAAAATACTGATTGAATTAAAACCCAATACAAATATAAAGAGAGCTAGTTATGTATAAAATAATTTGATATGAACCTATATTGCAACTTTCAGTGTGGTTCTTTAAACAAACTAACTTAAATGTATATGTAAATCTGCAGAAATAAGGATTGTTTTCATCTTTAAGATAACAGTAAAAATTTGAGTAAATAAAAACAAATATAGACCTCAATAAGAATAATAAAAAAAAATTGTTAAAAATAGTTAAAAATATTAATCTGATTAAAATACAATTACATATATACATTTCTTTCAAATAACTGTGATTTCAGTGTGTGGATACCCTGAAACAGATGTTGAGTGGATCGAAAAGTTGCATCATATCGTGTTATGCCTCGCTAGCCACACCCTAAAACATTAGAGGAAGAATGATTGATAAACAAAATGAAAAATGTATTTGTATTTTGATCAGACTAACTAGTGAAATAATTGTGAAATATAATACTATATTAATTATAAATATAAGTAATACTTCTATTTTTGAGGTAATCATATACTGTATGACTATATATAACTTTCAGGGAATATGTTCAGTGCTTACATAAACAGACACATAACTGGAACAGATATGAATTTTGACACAGACCACATTGTGCTAAAAAAAACTTGTGGTCAGTTTCTGTTGCCATCAAAGAAAAAATGGCTGAGAAGTGAAGATTGCCTCTCCTGAGATTCAACTTTTTAAGATTTAATTTTGATTTAGGTGATTGAAACCAAACAGACGATTATTTGTTTTCAGCAGGAGAATAGAAAGTAGATTAATTGTGGCTAATTTTTCTTCTGGACCTATTCTTTTATTATATATTTCAGCAACTATATTTACAATTTTGGTTTGTATTTGTCAGAATACTTTCCAATAATTCAATGTCCTGGTCTTCTAAAACAAACTAAGGCTTTGACTTAAAACTAGCTAAATTATGCACATTAAATGCTTATAAAATTATTACACATTATGGGAAATGAACACATAATTAAATAATACATATATTTCATATACTTATAAAACAACAAGCTAACAAATTAAAATAATCAAACTTATTATAAAGCACATACAAATGACAAACAAAATTAAGTTTTTCACAAAATGCATCTGTTCACATCACAAAACATGAGCTCAATTTAATTTGAATCAAAATTTCCCTTAAAATCAGAATCAGGCTTAAATAAAAGGAATAAGCTACATAACATAGAGTAGCACCAATATAAAGTTTTAAATACATTAACTGTAATAGTGTACTATTATATACAGGATTTCACTAATAACATGTATTTGTGATTTTATTGATATATTTTGATTTCATGCTATTACTACTTGTCTAGAGACCAGCTCTATCTATTCTTTACTCTATCACCTTTACAACACCATTTAATTTGCATTTATTTTCTTATTTCAACTGAAAATAATAGCAAACTACAGTAATGCAAATCATAAAGGAGCAGTTTGCAAAATCTTCATTAGCCTGAATTTGTTTTAAAAGTGGTCATTAAAAAAAGGTGTGTGCTAATTAATAACTCATTAAAAACAAAGGCATATATTATTGCATTATTTACTAATAACTATGCACATAATGTTACATGGCAACATGTGTAAATTATGTTAAAATATAGTGTGCTAAGTAAATAAAGCAGTGAGCACTACCATAATATTGTCTTGAGATATTATTAACAAGTATTTTAACTCTTAATCCGATGTGTCTTGAAATTTTCTTTCAAAGACACAATTTAAACATTATCACAGTAACATCACCAGCTATTATGACAAACAATGTGTCACCTGCCATTTACAATCTTATACAGATTTTATGTGAACCTTTAAATATGGCATGTTTACTTTTACCAAATAATGACAAAAGTAATTTATTTAGTAATTTTGACTGTTAATGAGAGTTTCTCATTCAAACATGAAAATTAAGCAATATGTAAAATTAAAAATTCTGTTACATTTATAAATAATGGTTTTATCGTGAAATATTTTCAAAATCAATGTCCTCTGGCGCATCATCCTCACTTCTTTCTTTCTTCATATCTTTTTTCATAAAAATCCAGGGAGCACTGAGACGGTTTGATTTATTATTTGTTCGTTCACTAGATGTACTATTGTGACGACTACGATTTTTAACTGGTGTTGAAGGTAAACTAATAGTTGATGTAACTCTAGGTACAGGTTCTAGAAAGTTTGTATTTACAGGTGTAACTAATCTAATATCTAGATCACTTCCAGCTTGTCGTACTATCTGTACCACCTCCTCATGTTTAGACCATAGTGTATCAACATTACCAACACCAACTACAAAATCACCAACTTTCATACTGCTATACTGTAAATACAAATAATTCTTCATGAAGAATAACTGTCGCTCGAAATTACATATGTAAGACAGATGCTATATAAATCTTAAAATAGAAATTGACAACAATAATATTCATTAAATTACAATAGCTATTGGCCACAATATTTAAATATACATAATAATATTAGACAGTGGTTGCAATAATACACATTTTGTACATCTATGCTCTGTCATACAGTGACCACAATATTATAAATCTATGCTCTGTCATACAGTGACCACAATATTATAAATCTATGCTCTGTCATACAGTGACTCAATATTATAAATCTATGCCCTGTCATACAGTGACCACAATATTATAAATCTATGCTCTGTCATAAAGTGACCACAATATTATAAATCTATGCTCTGTCATACAGTGACCACAATATTATAAATCTATGCTCTGTCAGACAGTGAACACAATATTATAAATCTATGCTCTGTCATACAGTGACCACAATATTATAAATCTATGCTCTGTCATACAGTGACCACAATATTATAAATCTATGCTCTGTCATACAGTGACCACAATATTATAAATCTATGCTCTGTCATACAGTGACCACAATATTATAAATCTATGCTCTGTCATAAAGTGACCACAATATTATAAATCTATGCTCTGTCATACAGTGACCACAATATTATAAATCTATGCTCTGTCATACAGTGACCACAGTGATTACCTCCTGACAATGTACAGATAATACAGTGAATATAACTTACCCCTGCTACACTTTCTGGTTCTATATCAGCTATAATAACTGGTGAATCACCTCTAACACTAAAACCAAAACCTTCACCAGTATTTCGATGTAATGAAACTAATCTTGGTGTTGACCATTCATTCTTGGCATTAAATATTGATATAGGACCCTAAAAATAATAGAACATTTCATTTGAAAATCAATTAAACAGTAATCCAATCAGATGCTATCACTATTGACTATTCTGAAATAAACATCTACAGTGCATTTATTTCATAAGCTTAGATTACATGTATGATGCAAATATTTCTTGTTTTAGAAAATATAACACTTACTAGTTTTCTAAATATATCAGTCACCTTTATCTTTGAGAATTCTGGCGTAATTGATACAACATCATTTTCTGATTTCCCTTGTATTCTGGCAACAGTTACTAAATCAGAGAAATCATCCTCTTCTTCTAATGCTGAGAACTTTTTTAATGCTCTGAAAATACATAAACAAATGTCACATAAGGATCTAGAGTTTAATTTGTGATTAACTTTATCATATAATCTGGATTTGGACTGATAATTTGGCTATGTAATCGTGTTAAACCTTTTAAGTTTTGGTGCTTCGAAGGTGCAGTTTACAACCAAAAAAAGACAAATTAGAGCTGAACTACAAGAAATTATATTTTTTTCTGATTTTAATAGATCAAATACAATATCAATATTATAGTTCCTGACTTTACCTTTCATGAGTCTTGTCTAAGATTTCACCATAATGGTCAACCTTCCTCAATTGTTTACACAAATCATGAACTCTTAAAGCTTCTTCATGACCTAATACTGATTCTTTTAAATGAGCTTTTCCTATTATTTTTCTGTCTTCACTATTTGTAGGTAATTTCAACCCATTATTTTCATCTCTACCTTCTGCTCCAATCTGTAATCCTTGGAACATAGTCTTGATCTTCTCCATATCATCACTATCTATAAACATTTATTATTTTTCATGAAAACAAACTGAAAGATAGTGGACCACAGCCATATACGCCCACCACGGCATGCGGATGGTAAAAACGAAACATCCATTTTAAGTTTCATTAAAAATGGTTGAAAACTAAAAGAGTAATAGCATATTCAAGATTTTGGGGCAAGGGCAATAACTCTGCTTTTAACGGTCGAAAATAGCTCAAATTCGAACTTGATCTTCGTTTTATGAATATGTATACACATACTGAATTTCATTTGATTTCATCAAAAAATCTAGTTTTTAGAGCGTTTACAAGCAAATGTTGACGGACCGACAGGGGTGCCCACAATATACGTCCACATAGAGAGATGTGGGTGTATAAAAACACATTTGTTTGCTAAGTGAAATGGCCAAATGGGAAATCGCAGATGACAGTTGGGATGTCCTGTCCTAGATACTTCATAACATAGTGAAAACTTAATTGGCAGAGACTACTCAGTCTTGAAACACCAAACATCCATTTGTCTAGCTGGGACGAAAACCTTTATATTTTTCAATTCAAAACCCTTTGACTGAGGTGAACTGTATGCTTCAATATTTCTTCTGTTCATATGAAAACAACAACTTACCTTTCTGATCTAGCAAGCCAGATGCTATATAATAATGGGCTAAACCTTTATAATAATAATGTTTAGTTTGAGCCATAGATATCCAGGAGAAAGGGATATAACTCTTCACAGGTTCACTAATCATTAATCTGTGTGTATCTCGATACTTCTCTGATACCTGAAATATATGTAATATTTGAAGTGTATTTTCTAATTAATATCCAATTGCCACTTCAAAGAAACCCGCTATGATTTTGGTCTGTGGGACATTTCTCTATCAGTTCATTCAAGGCAGAATGTTTCTCATGTTTGAATCTCATACACCAGCTATTATTTTCTCATGATGCACACTATCTAACTGAAGAGGGACCCAGGTACAATTTCCATAAACTAACTGTAAATAAAACTTACTAGGGCTGCTTCTTGTGCCATTTTCGTAGTGGCTAGGATACCATTTTGTACAGTTTTTAAATAACATTTCTCTAATACACATTCTTGAGCTTGACACTAGAAGATAACAAGAATTTTTCTAAAAGAATCAATCATCAACACAATGGAAAATTGACAAATATTTTCCACGATAGGTTACCTACCACTTTACATTTTCATTCTAATAGAAACCTATTAGCCTAGTTGGTATACTGGTCTAAGATGTTAGAAACTGATAGGTAACAAAATTCTATTACAAACCTGCATTAAAGAGGCCAACATCAAAAGTGTAGAGGGTTGCATATCCATACTAGGTGCATTACGAAAATGGCATTCTAAATGTAGAAAGGCTCCAGCTGCCTTCACAAAATATGTTATAGAATCTTCTAGTCCAGATATCGTAGTTCTGTCCTAAAACAGTGAAATATATCCTAATGAAAAATAATCCAAACAATTATCAGTTCATTTAGGGAACATAACTATGTTGATGAAGCATAGAAACATTAATGATACCAGATAGAGATAGAAGCAAAAACAAAAAAAACAAAGCAATTCAATGATAACAACTTCTGATAATATTGTATAGCAGAAAATCAGATCTAAAGATCAGATTCCAAGCCTATTAACCTTCTGATGCTGCCAATTTACATACATTATACATTATTTGAATACTAACTCACCTGTTTACAAGCTAACTGGGTGTATAATGCACCAATATTATATAAAACACTACCTTTCTCAAAACCTATAGCTTTCTGTGTACTTGGTACTCCAGATAAAGAGTCATACCTGTATACAATGATATATGTTAATCTTCATTTTAATTGAACAAAGTTCAGTTGTGTATTTCACAATGCTACTTCAAGAAGACTTGGCATGTCAAAGCTGTGTCACTGAATGGACAGAAATTATGCAAGTGTAGGGGTGGTTTTAGTTTGTTATCTTACTCCTATTCAGCAAGTGTTTATATGTTTATATTGGGAAGCTGTCCTTTAGTTTGAAAACTAGCTTTCCAGATGTTGAATAACAAACTGAAATATATGTTGACAGCATGAGCTATTATTTATAAAATTCTTAAACTAAAAACTATCTTACCAATGAAAATGTATAGAAAGATGTTTATCAGTAGGGAAAAAACGTTTTTCTATATAATATAACTGGTTAAAATATTCCATCAATAATTCTAGACCATATATATCTCTCACTGGTGTTCTGATAGCCTATCAAATGACAAATATTATAATACATATAACTAACAAAACAATACCAATATAAATCTTCTGTAGTATATGGGACAATAGCAATAAAATATATATTTAATTGAAATCTGCATCTTCCAGGTGAAAGCGTGCAGTAAAAATTTTCCAGAAATACTGAAATAAAAATGGAGCTGGAAAGTTTGAAATCAATATTTCATCTGTATGCCCAATTAATATTCACAAATATTTTGCATAAAAATATCATAGATTCATAGCATCTAATTTGATACTTACAAAACTTTAAGTGACTTAAAATATGACATAGATTAATGTCAATTAATATATTATAATATAAAATGTTTAATTAAGATACTCTCTTTAATATAATAAAAAGGGTAGTTATAAGTTAAATGTATTTTAAAATTAAGATATTAATGTTGATATTGCATGAAATATCATAATATTACCAAGATTGTTATAGCCATTACAGTAATATAATATCCTATTAACAAATATATTAACTTATCATAACTCAAACATAATTACATGTATTGGCTTTTCTAATGATATAATTTCCATCAACTTGACCTCATAATCATATGATTTGAAGTGAAAATGAAAGTAAGTAGAAGTGACAAACAGGTAGAATAAAATGACTCAGGCAGTGTAAAATTATAATACTCTATTGATACAATTTGGTGAGTGGCTAATAAGATCTCTAGTTCTATGAATAATAATATAGGTTACAGGAAATAAATTGATTTTCTTGAAAAATGTCATATCGAAATCTCTCAAAACAGCATTATATTTAAACGGGGATCAAGTACAGATACAAAAAGAATGAAAAGTTCCTTTTTAATATCAAATGTCCCAAAGATGGGAACTTTTGAACCTTAATCAATGAATATATAGGACTAATCAAGTAGTATCAACAGCTCTTGTACTTTACCTGACGTATATTATGTAATTCTTGTATTTCATTTATAAATTTCTCTGGTTCTTCACTATAGTGTTCTAATAAATAATCCTATCAAAAATACAAAAATACTATACAGTAATACAATTATCACTTATTTAAGAAAATAAGACAGTATCTAAATTATATCACAGCCATGAGAGGCCTATTAAAGCTACACCACCAAAATATGAACAGATTGCCATGATATAACATAGGCTTAGTTGGGTAGACACCATCAAAATCCTTCTTTTCAGTCATATTTTACTATCAATATATACAAAAAATTGCAAAAATTGAGAAAAAATGTTTTCTTACCTTTATAGGTACTGAACAATCCACTTCTGTTGTTTCTTTTAACCCCAATGGTATCATGGGTACACATTTAGCACAACTGAAATATAAACACTAATGCTGCTAAACAACTGTTATAAACTTGTGTTTTAAGTTTAAAATGTTCTCAAGATATGTATTAATGTTTTTGTTGAAATACTTATGGGAAATGATGGAAACTATGGAGAATAAATTCTCTATTGATTTTTGATCACAATTTCTGTAAATTCTACCCAAATCTTAAACTGCAAATTTACATTTTCCTCCTTATTAAAACTGCTATAAACATACTTATCATGTTGGTATATGTGAACTGAACTATTTAATTCAGCTAATTCTTCCTTTAATAACTGTATATTGGAATTAAAAAATGACAATTCAACTGCTACTTGTTCCTTTAATTTCTTATTACTAGTAGCTCTGGAATAAACAAATAATATATTATATTGCAGATTTACATCTTATTTCACAAGAGTTGTGTGTTAACAAGACAAACTCCTTGCCTCAAGGTTAAAAACATACATTATTCTTCTGAAATCATTTATTAAATTTTGTGGTACCATAAGCAAGCATAATGCAGTTTCAACCAAACTGTTCTAGCTACTGTCACTAATCACAATTCTTTCTCATCATATTCAAGATTCAAGATTCATTGTCAAGATTTTAGCTGAATATTAGAAAAATAGTCTATGGATTTTTAGGTAAGGTAATTGGTGCACCTCCTTTCATTCAGGAAAATTCATGATTTAAGGTTTTAAACAACAAATTCAGCTTCCTCATTGTAAATTATTACTTTTTAATATTTCATATTATTCTTGGTTATTTTTGGTGGCTAGAGCTTGAAATTCAAGCCCAAAACAATAGACAAACTTATCCTGGCTGAGTTTTTAAATACTCAGGTAAGGCAAGGTAAAATATAATCAAGATTGTGGCAAATGATTGTAGATTGTTTTACTTTAGAAGAACTTTGAACCTAGCTGCATTTTATTGTATCAAATAAACTCTAAAATAACCTTATTGATATTTTGTCAAACAAACTTGACTAATTGATTTAAATTGTTTTTACTATCTAACACCTTAGCATAAGATGGTTTATGTCACTAGAAACCGATCGTTAAATCAACTATAGACTAACCAGGTCAATTTCAGGTGTATATCAATAATATAGGCAAAATATAAGGTTAACTAAATCTACAAATACTGTTTATTTTATCAATCTTGTCAATGTGTTAATCCTGGCTTGTATACAGTCTATAGATAAACTAGAACACCTCAATACACCAAAAACAATAACACCAAATATCAATATATTTTACTCTTACTGTTTAGATAAAACACGTAGAACAAACATCTTCAATATTGCAAATCAGTTTCAAGATATAAATGATAAATTCCCTTAATATTTGATTCCTCGGTGTTTGACTTCCTCAAATATATCTGGCCACAAAAATAAATTAAACGTCATAAAGTAGAGTTTGAAAATTTAGCTCATACATTGTCAATAAATACAATTGACATTATGATCAAATTTTAAAAATTATCTATTAATCTAACTGAAAGCATGCAAAATTCCGATAAACATTATATCAAAATTTAATCCCCTGTACATAGTTCTCATTTTTTATCTAGATTTTTATGTTTACTTTAATGAGAGATATAATATTATCGAAGAGTATGTAGTAGGCATTGTTATATAGGATAAATATTAACAGAACGGTATATGATGTCAATACTATCATTGTTGATCTATAATATTATATAAAGATTAAATATAGTATATTGTTGATTTATGTTAATAATATATACCTACAGAAAACAGGTGGGTCTTTTTTTCTTGTTTATTGATAAAAAATTGACTTGTTGAAAATAATGTTGAAAGCATAAAGTATAAAATGCACAGGTCAGTTGTTAGCAAAGTCGAGATGACTTCCATCAAATTCTTTGACAGTAATAGAAATAACAAAGATAATTCTGATGGTAAAAAATCTGAAGATTTAAGTATACCAAAAATTGAAGCAACTAATGAATATTAACTTCCTACTTTTAGAAAATACCTGATACATTATGATAAAGTGTAAAAATCCAGAAAATCTTGTTTTTTTGGTATAAAGAGAAAGAATGTTATAAAATATTCAGGTTTCAGTAATTAGATTATAAGTAAACAGTATTTATCACTCACTAATTATACCTTATAAATAACTTTTATCAATATAACAGTACATAGTATGTACATACCAACAGAACACTAACTAAAACTTGTCAAGTAAAAATGTTCCTTTTTATCAAAATGGCCTGTCTAACTTCCAAAATAATAAACCTTGAACTTAAAATATATTCATATCAAATCTTAATCATCTGCAAAAGATTTATCAAATCTGATTTTATTTTTTATTGATATTCCAATCTGTCATTTGTATGAAGAAAAATTGCATCTGATCGACACTTATAAGATTAAGCCTTACTCTGTTTCTCAATAACTAAGAAAATATATATCATGAAATAGAAGTCTCAAATAAAAATATATTGAACAGTTTTTAATCAAGATGGAGAAACAGGTATTTTCAATGCCCTATAGTTGAGATTTGACTTCTGCCCTGTAGAATTTCTAGTTACGCCCTGTTTAATGACATTCATAAATAAAAGAGAATTATTCAGTAGGTTTATGAAGAAATAATTACTAGATCTAATCACTAATCAATCAAATATCTAGGTTAATACTATATTAGGTATAGAGCAATATTCCTTTTCTAACATACCATAAATAGTCAACTACTGTAATATATAACTATCTGATTTATTGCCCTCAGCAATCTTGTTATTACATTCAAAATTCCATAGCAAAAGTCTTTCTTTCAAAATTTTCATATTTCATTCTAGATATAAGATGATTGATATCATTTTTGATCAATCAATTTATAAAATCAAAGTTTAAACAATAAAATTGTAGTATTATTTGGCATCGGCTACAAATGCTCGTTTAGATCTTTAATTTAGATCCTACACAATTTTGGATTTTTATTAACAATCTTAACAGTATGTACTTGGTTTTGGTATCTGTGAAGTATTTTTAATTAGCCTAAGATAAAAATTTTGAAATGAAATGAAATGTCTGCAGTTCTACATCCTACTTTTCTGCACCATGTGGGCTAATGAAGACAGGCAAACAACATGCAGGGTACAAAGAGGGAGATTTTGGCAGGACAGCAGCATTAACCTGCTCTTTTTCGATTTCCAAGTGTTGAGTTTTCTTTAACGTGCACATCCTGTAGCACGCCTTTGTTTATTGTCCCATCGTAACGACAAGACTCTTTTCCATGCCAGCCCCTCATACCTACATCACTGACAGGGGGAAACCAAGTTGAAAAATCCAAAGCTATTATCCTGACAAATGCTGGGATTGAACACTGGACCTTCAGGTTAGCGAGCAAGCGTCAAACTCACTCAACGCGGCTCCAATAAAATTTTTGAAGTGATACTACCTCGCATAATGTATTAAAAATTTAGCTATGTAAATAAAAAGGGACCAATTTTGAAATGGCTGAAATTTTTCTTGATTCAAGCAGGAATATTACCTTATAACCAACTTCTTATAACTTAGCCACTACTTTGTTTGTTTGGATTGATTATGGACAATTTTTACTGTCAGGACAAAGCATAAAGATATGAAGCACAGGGACTTTATATTATAGCCCATATTACAGTGCATAAGTCATTAAAAATACCTTGACCTAGTGTCCTACCTATATAAATTTTCAGCTCCATTTCTCATGCGTAACTCTTTATTTATTTGGTCATTCAACTTAGAACGTCGAGTTTGTAACTTCCCTCTTGCTGTTTGTATCAATGGATCAGATCCCTGTAAGATATAAAAAAATATATAGTTAAAGAAGTAACCAGATATCCATGTAAAATTACAATTTCAACTATATTCAGACGGGAAACTTTATATCCATATGGCTACATATGGCTATTTATAAATATCATGTTTGAATCATTCAAATTGTCTTTTTTTTAATTAAGAACAGACGTCCCTTCTCAAACTAGGAATTTAATTTCCTATTTCTCTAGATGTCTTTTATATTCAATATTCTATAGTATCTCAAAAGAAGACAATTTGTCTTTTTAACTTTGAAACGCATATGATTCTGGACACACATGTATTTCCAAATTTCGATGGTGAGCTGTGAACGCTATTACCAATTGGCTTAGCTGAACAAAATCCGGTTTCTGAGACTAAAGTATTATTGGTCCAAAAAATCCGTTTAAAATAGATTTTGGTTTTAAAAATTTCAAAACAATATAAATTTCATTTAAATCAGTCAAGGGACCACAGGATGAAACCGTAAATTTTTATCTTATACCATGACAGGTTTTAATTCTTAAAGGTATATGGGAAAAATATAACATTAACCTGTCTGGAACATATCATATTTTCAAAACTTTGATTTTTATTTATTTATTTAAATCAAATTTAATTCAATCCAGGAAATACAATACAAACAATCTTCATTAAAGTCTTAATTCAACATGTTTTAATGAATGTCAGTTATTTGTCTCTGGTTTAATTTTTTTCATTCTGTAACTAAGTGTAAATGTAAACATGATATTTGGAAAGGTCAGCTGTATAAGAAATATTTGTAAGTCTCGACATAACCACTACAACAATAGTCTGTAGAATTAATAATAGGTACTGATATAAACATTTTTTAAAAATGTCAAGGTTACCTTGCACCATTTCAGAATATGGTCCTGTCTAACATTGAACCCTTTGTATTGAGAAATAATTTGGTAATTTGAAAGGATAATTTTGGGGACTATACAAGGAAATTAACTATAAAGAAACTTTATTCAAGTAAATGCAGAATATTGGGTTTTAAAACCAAACCAAACCAAAGTCTCAAGAAGAACATATATTTTTCCATTTAGTAATTAGTTTCCAATGAAAATCGTAAATAAAGAATTTCTCAAAATTTTAAATTTAAACTTTTTTACGCTTATACATTAATCTACGATATTTTGAGAAACTTGGTCTTGCAACAAAAATCCTCAAAATACACCATGCTATCTCCCTAATTTAGAGTCTTTGCCTCTTTCTCATTAAAAGATTCTTGTCCTCATTTTGAAACATTTTGGAAAATGTCTGAACTAGAACAGGGAATCCTATACAACTAGCAGTATAAAAATTGACAAAGGCACAGATTAAATGGGTGTAGTCAGTCTTTGTTGTTGTAAACTATAGAGGACATGGTTTGTTGATAAAACACAGTAAAGGTTGTATGTTCACTGTCCACTACCAGTCAATGTGACATGACCTGGCTCTTCCCTCTAATTGTTACATTTCCACATTGTTTATTATCATGGTAATGTTTTCCTGAACAACTAACAATAGACAACAAAACATTGTTACAAAGAATACAGACTGAATGCATGTTACAGCTTCCTTAGTTTACATGAAAGATAATTTTTAAATGTTTTAAGTTGGTAGTTAGTGTTGGTATTCAATATTTTCTCTTCCAAATACAGTATGTTAAAATTGATATTCCTAAATTCTGATGCTTGTGACAAGAAAATGAGTGATAGAGCTTGAGTGGCAACAATTGGACCCTGTCATTTGATTGCACTGTGGCACAACCAGCCATGGTTCAACTGGCACCACAGAAATTTTTTGCCTTAATAAATAACTGCCATAAGAGTGGTCTAAAGGATAAACATCTTGGTTAAATTAAGCCCTTTAGTTTAAGTGCCAAATTTTTAAACATCAATGTATTACAAAGATTAACAATATTAATATATAATTCAAATAGAGCGCCACAGGCACAAAATTTCGAAACTTTAATGTTCTTGAATGCCAAATTGTGCCTAATTTACGTCCATTACAGACACTCTGACCATTGGTGGGGGTGGGGGGGTACACAGGATCCCTATGGTTGCCAGTCACACCAATAGGTTTATAATTCTTGTTTATTGGTCTCTATTTAAACAAGACACCTTATGGGGATTTTAAATTAACATCATAATTATAGATATCTACTTTTAAACCCTTAATCATCCAGTTGTAAAAAAAATGTTATTATAATACCAAACTATTTTTGATCCACCAACCATATATATGAATAGGTCAAGATAAACTGACCTGGGCTATCTAAGACCTGAGGCTAATTTACACTATATTTACTAGTAGTTTGACACTAGCTGACGATATAAGGACTATGATATGATACGTATCTGGATATTGGGTAATGGACAAAATTTAGTGATTTACAAGTTTCAATGATTATTTACTACTGTTTATTTTCATATAATAACAAAATAATATTTTGGATGACCTCTAGTTTTATATGAAAATATATTGTCTAGAATTCTTGATATTGTCAAGTATCGATACACGACCACACGATGTATGGATTCACCAATATTGTATCTGTATTGAAAGACAGATCTGCATTGGTTATTCTTCTTTTTCTGAACACAAATTTTTCCTCTTTCCTTGTATAAATGGGATTTTATTACCCATGATAAGATGTGCTTATACTTTATATTTTTGACTGAAATTTCATATTTTGGAATGCAAATTATCTGTATTTCTAATCATATAAGAAACAATAAAATGGGTGTTATGTGAAGGTTAAAGGGGTAAATATTAAGCCTGAAGCAAGATACAGATATCTTTAATCTTTCTTTTATTCTTCATCAATATACCTTGACCTGACTTTAAACAGAAAAGTAATTCTGTAAACTCTACTAATAAAAAATGAATGTTGATGTTATTTGCATGATATAAAAACAGTTTCAGTTTACATCAACATCATATAACCAACATCATATACCCAAATGTAGCCAACATCAAATTACTGGTTTTATATTTGTTGATATAAGTGATAACATGAAATAAGTTGACAATCTATTTAAAATGAAATATGGGATCAAATTACAGAAACATATATAATACCTGTTAAAATTCTATATTAGATATAATATTTCAGATAGTAAATAATTCAGTACAATAATTCATGATTCTTATGAAACAAAGTAGGGTGAGGTAGCAATTTGCAAATTTGTTCATCTGTAATTTCAAACAATTCTCAAATTCAGAAATGGGTAAATGCTGTAACAGATGCAAACTATAAATATATATATATATGTATGTCAGCTTTCACAAATAGATATTGTTGTTAAGTTTCTGGTTAATTATATAAAATGGTTAATTATAGGTTTGGCAAGGAAATGCAAAAAACACACTTGTCATGTTTATATCCACATTTTTTAATGGTTTAGAGCCATCTTTATTGGTGAACGTGCTATGCTTACACTGAGTTCCCAGACGACTTTAGCCTCTGTCACACATGTGAGGTACAAGACTACCATTCAATGGGAATTTAACTATTTTGCATGAGCAGTTGAAAGTGAACAAAGCAATGTTAACTTTCAAATATCTAATCAAAGTGGAGAAAAAAAAAACATGCAATTTCCCACTCTGTATAGCAGTGGATGTAATTGGAATATGCTAAGTGATTAACATTGACAAAAGAAAGTGCAAATGTTGTTTTGTTTCTGTTAAGAAAAGGAAAGACCAGCATGCTGAACAAGAATAAGCTGGCTTTTGCGTTTCCATGGAGTAAAGTGAAAGCCAGCTTAAAAAGGGTCAAATTCGCCTTTTTGGAGGTTGATTTGGAACTTGAATATATGTAAATAGTTTTTAGAAATACTAAAAATGTACTAGGAGTTTCACTTTCTATTTCTATATATGTCTTTTCTATATACGGCACAGTCTCATTTTGACATTCAAACGCAGATTATTCTGGACACACATGGATTTGAAGGCTAAAAACTGTGTGCTGTGAACACTATTACTAATAATGACCAGTCCCTTTAAAGCTAGCTTTCATTTGGCCCACGATAAATTGCCACACACAAAAAGAGCAGTTTTCAGTTACGAAAGCTGGCTTTCTCTCAGTGGAAACACAGTTTATGTCTTAATTTCTGTTATAAAATTCAAGCTGTAAAACTGTCCTTGTGTAAAATAAAAACATTAATTTACATATTAGTTGCTGAAAAATTGTCTTCCTGGTGTAAAGAAGTTTTAAAGTGCATATTCAACCAAGCCTAAAACTATACCAGGGAAATTACTAGATATAATGTTCAAAATGCTATTCATATCTTATCAAGTGGTAGAAAGAAATTATTCACTTCACATACCAAGACCTTGTATTCCTATTGTAAACAACATGCTATCAGTTAAATATTAAAGAACAATGCAGATTAAAAATCATGACTGATATCATGGACAACACTATCATAAAACAATTTCAATTCAAGGACCTATGTTATTTCAAATAAAATCTGTGATTCGAACTGTTTATTTGAAATCAAATTCATGCTGCTGACAAATTATATATCTTTGTCATTGGGCATCTTGTTTTGGAAATGGAGAATACCTTTCTGATAGAGGTCTTTCAGCAAGCAAAGTAATCCAAAAGTGCTAAAAAAGAGCAAGAAGTCAATAAAACAATATTCTTCATTATGGAGACTCTTGACTTGTAGGCCTACCTAATTAAAAAAAAAAAAGAACACAGACTCCATACTTTTCCTGTCAAATTGCATTACCTATATACAGTGGTATTATCTATCATTAAGTTATCATTGTCTCAATGTTGTATACAAGCCCTTTACAATTTTATGGGTTTGGTAAAATAGTTGACCTTAAATATTTCATTAATCTGTTTGATTTAATAAGGAAGGGCCTAATAGAATATTAAATATAAGACACTTGATTGCTTCAATTTTCACATGATCTTTTATATTTCTAGAATCTTCAATAATAGTTAAATAAAGGAAAGATTAGTTCTACCAGTTGTAATAAAGTTTTAAGCTATGACAAAGATCACAGTATTAGTTTGTGGTTCATGTCTAGTGAGTGACAACTATGCAAAATACAAGAACTGAATTTAAATTTGAACAATTTATTTATAAAATAAATTGATAACATTCCATTTCTACAATATTCTAAATAATCTAAAAATGTTCTGTTGTTTAAAGGGATGACAAGTTATGCTACTAATGCATTATAACAGTTTGCCAAACTAAATTTACACTTTTAACATTCAGGTCTGTAAATTCTAGGAGAGATGGGGGTGGGGGGATGAAGTTTAGAGTGAAATATAGCCATTTGTATAATGTCATAATGGTATATAAACAAGGTGTAAAAGTTAATGTAGATGTCTAGATATATCATGTTACTATAAATTATATAACCTGAGTATTTGACCCATGTCATTATTAGTTACTTGTCAATATTAACATATTTATTGTCTGACTTGATACAGGTCAGATATAACCCACCACAATCAATCTTTAAATTCCTTATATGAAATAACTATTGTATCTCATACAGGCTTCTAAGAGATTTTTAGTCAGTTCAAATAAAAAAAAAATCAAGGCTAAAACAGCATCAGAATTGTTTTTCTTAATTGCAGATAAAGATTGGTATGGGTAACAAACATTCAATAAAAATTAACTATTACTGTATTTCCTTCTTATCATGTCATTGACATTTTTTTTCCCCACAAGGAAAAAGATCATTATCTTTATCATTATCTCCCAATCATAACCAAATTTCACTGATTCAATTGCTATAAAATCATTATACTATCCAGACTGATTGTGCATTTGAAACACATGTCTGACACAAACTTAACACGTTAAAAGTTATTGTAGACTGTGTATGCTAAAACCATTTTAAAAAGACAAGAGAATGTAGTATTTAACTCTGTGGTAAATGAAAGGCATCCTAAAGTTGTTAAATAAAAGTGTTCTTCAGTTTACCTACATTTACCCATTATTTACTCTAGAATTAACATTTATCCATTGAGCTCTCGACATTTTATACTACACAGAGGTCTTTTACCCTCTACTCTGTATTGATTACAACAATTGATCAACAATGAAATATCTATTAACAAGGTACTTTAAAATAGTTTAAAATGCATCACACAAAAAAATGTTTATTAAGGATATTTAAAAAGACACCCAATTTTCAAAAACAAACAAAAAATTTTTTTGTTTCGCAAAACTTAAAAACATGGCTGACTTGATTCAAACTCATTGCTCTGTTTGACAAAAAAAAAATTCATAATCAATGGCTTCTCACTTGTACGAATAGTTTTTTTTTTCAAAATCTGCAATGAAGCAGCCTTTTAAATTTTCCATGTTACATTTACAACAACCACGTTGATTTTTCATATAGAAAGTTCAGAGCATTATAACTTCTTGTGTAAAACTTTGCTAACAGAAAGCTTAATTAATTAATTGATAGACCTAAAAATACGACAAGTGTAAAACATTGTTGCACTTTGAAATACTTTACAACGTCTGCTATGGATAAAATGATATTTGACATATTTCTCAGTAATTTTTGACAAGAAGAAAATAAAATCTACATTTCTCACCTTCCTACAATGCCTTTCATTGTTGTTTTTTACCGAAACCACACTTTTATGTAAGAGACTCATTTTCAGTTACATTCGTACACTTTATAAAAGAAATATCCGTGAAATAGTTCGAATGTTTACAACCGTTTTAACTTCCATGCTACTACTTAATAACATATCTTCTCTCTCTTCCCTTACTTCAACCGTGACCTCGTGACGTCACGGGGACTAGTTTGTTTTTATGAGGCGCTTTGTTGGTTTGATTAGCCGAAAATCCCTCCTGATTTGTTTATGTATCTTTTTTATTGATATTTGAAATAAATATAGTTTTGCAAGTATTGATAAATAATCACAAAACTTGCGAAACACATGAAATCTTGTAATAATTGTTTGATATAAGGCTCCAGAATAGTTCACATCGTAACTTGGCAAACTATAGTTAATTTGTATGGAAGGGTTTCATTGTCACAATATTGAACCAAGTTTTATACTGTAATGAGATTGTTCAAAATCAGCCCAAATCGAATTTACCCAAATGCTGCCATGTGAAGATAATCAGTATTTTCCAGACTTCAACATAGACATCGATCTATTGTCACTTTGATGTGTTATACGACAATTTTAATTGCAGGTAAATCTGACACTGGATGTTTTGAAACATGATTTGAGTAGCTCACGTGTAGTTCTATCTGATGCTAAAATGAGCAGTTAGAGCAGTGCTTCTCTCAACCGGGGTTCATGTGCACTCCCGGGACCCGAGGGTTAATTTGGTTAGTTCGGAGTGTGTTAATAAGTTGAAATTCATAGCAAGACTTCATCTGACCGGGTCTATCATCTGACCGGGACTTCACCTGAAGATGACAATGTAGATTGTTGAAACGTCGTGTGTAATAAAACTAAGGAGTAGTATACCATAAAATTGTGTTCCGTTATTTAATAGATCATAAATGTAAGAGTTAGAGACAATTCAAGACCAGTTATGCGAGAAGTAACCACCGCTAGCAATTTTTGACAAACATTTGCTACTGTGGATCGGGTTGTTTGGTGTTCCCAAACGTTAGGTATCAGTAAGTCTTACTCTTTATGTGTAACAACTGAAGTCGTTGACCCTTTTAGAAAAGGCGTGCGTTTCGTCAAGATTAGATTACATTCATATTGTCTTAATTTTATGATTGGCAAGATTGATCCTGCAAATGACCTATATAACGTAGCTAATCTTCAAATTTATTCATTTTGATGATAGACTTTAAGTTTCGGTTCTGGGCAACTTTAAAGAGGTCTTTTCGGACAGATTTGATAAATTGGAGTAATGTATACGATGTAAGAGAGGCTCTTTGATACAGTTGTCCTCCCATATTACTTTTGACTATAGCAAATGGGAGGCGACTCCTGTTTACTGCTAATAATTTCAGACTACATCTAAAAATTATTTTATAATAAAGGGACCAGAATTTTTGTCATGATTTATAGGCTAGGACTCAGGTTGCCCCCCTCCCCCGTCTCTTTGTCGCCACTGACTATAGAACATCATAGAACATAGAGATCATAGAACATTCTTAACACAGAAAACTTACCACAGAGTCAAGTACAAGTACAGAAAAGAGGGCGTACTATTTGTCTAAAAACGGTATGAAATATGAAGTCTTGTCTATAATATTCTTTTTGTTGAATATCATTCTGTGCACAATTCGGTATTCCCTCCAAATTACAAGCGGGAAACACAAAATCGCCTTGGGTGTAATTATAATACAGAATGAATGAGAATCATTTTGCAAAATGTCTTCCCAGTTTAAGAAAACATATTCCGTCATTAAGTAATATATTTTAAAACTTACGCAACGACAATACAAAAACAGAAACCAAAAGCAGGATAGTATTTTTAATGGGTATGTGTCATAATGGTTCACAATAGTGGAAGGGGTGAGGGGTAGGGGGTAATGAAAGAAAATGTTAATCATTTGCTAGGAGAGGATATTCCGGGGTTGTAAGGATATGATTATAAAAAATAAAAACATTATAATATTGATTCATGTTTATGGTTTTAATAAGAGATATATTACAGAGTTTACACAATCAAAGGTTTCACTACATTTACATGTAATATGAGACAATATTGCTTAAGTAATGCTATTTAGGACGATCATTCCTGAACACTGAATAAGAACACTGGTAATACCCGTAAATATTAGACATCATAAAAACGGATTTCAAATCACATATTCTGCAAGACAAGTATAGAATGCTTTAACCTTCAAGATTTAGGCTTTATAGCAGTTAAGACTAAATTATTTTTGCCATCTATGTCATATTTACCGATTGTTTATTTAATAAATATAAACCAAGCAAAAACATTGTAAGAATTAAAATTGTAGACTACTTTCTGCACATTGTAAAACACATCTGTTGGTAGACTGCGATGACAACAACCGAAGGTGTGAAGTGGACTAGTTACAAACTCTCGATCTTCGCCCAACTTTGCTATGAGCAAACCCTGATCAAAAGATCAAATTTACCTTGACTTATTACGTACGAAGCCTATGTACATCGATTGAATTTGATGCATTTATTTAACAGCTTAAAGTTTTTGGGATATAATTATATGAGACAAATCATAATATAGCAGTGTCTGTTTTACTTAAATCGTCAACAACAAAATAATACCATCATCACTATGTTTTGACACTCTGGTTCATATTGTTGTTACTTTCCCATTATTTGTAGGTTGGCAATTCGGGCAATTGTTCAAAGCTCTTTGTTGTCTCTGCAGATTTTTCAACATTTCAAACAATTCCTTTCGCTCATTTTCCATTTTATCAAAATCTGCTTTCCGTCGTTCCTCCAGATCTAGTAACAGTTTTAGTTTTTGTGAGATTCGCGATATCTCATTTCTCAGATCTGTGATTTCTGCTTGCATTGCAGATTCTCTTTTAACCATATACTCTCTCTGTATAGCAAGTCTATTCTCCATTTCTTTCTTTTGATTTTCTATTTGTAGCACCATTTCAGATCTTAATATTTCAATAGCCGAACGCAGTTCTTGTATACAATTATGTTCTCGATCGTCCATATTAGATACAGCTATACCACATCCTTTAGCACACATTTTACTTTTATCTCGACATTCCTTTAAATGATCATGTAAATCCATTTTTAGAATAGAATCGGAACATTCCATATTTGGACAAGTCATTATTTCAAATTTACACTCGCGTGTATGAGCACTAATAAATTCTAAATTGCACGAATAATTGCATCCTTTTAACGAATTACGACACTTTATTTTTAGTTTGTTTAAATCATTTTTCATATAACGAAATAATGGTTTAAGATCATGAAGTAGTAAAACCTGTCGATCCTCTGGACATGTATGTTCTGTTAATAACCATTCATAAATACATACTCTACAGAAGGCATGCTCACACGGTGCCTGTACTGGGTCCTCTAAAACACCCCTACATATACCACAAAATAATCCTTCATTTACAGGTACTAGAAACCTTTTAATATCATAACCCATACCTTACACACCTTGGCCTGAAAATATACAAATATAGAATTAGATAATGTATAACTGGAGCATGAAATTTGTGACCTTGCTTTGATCTATGATTAACTTTCTGGCCTCATTATGATCCACAATGAGGTAACGAATTGTATAACATAATATTGTTACAGTTGCTAATGAATAAGTGAGTTTCAAATTCATCTTCTGTTGAATATATCAAATGAAGATTTTGGGCAGGCCTATATCCATTACACATGACTAAATGTAATGATTGATTATTGTTTAGTACATCAACCTAGTGGGTTAAAGAGAACATGCAAAATAGAAAATAAGGAATTGCGATCTACTGTGTTGGTCAAATGGTGACCTGAGTATACCAAATGGTGACCTGAGTATATCAAATGGTGACCTGAGTATATCAAATGCTGACCTGAGAATATCAAATGCTGACCTGAGAATATTAAATGGTGACCATCTGTAAATATCAAAAGGTGACCTTCAGAGAATATGAAAAAGAGGTCTTCTGGATATCTAGAATGGTGGTCTGAGTATATGAAATGATGACCTTTTGGGAATATCAAAGGGTGACCCCCTGAGTATATCAAAAAGAGGTTCTTTGGATATCTAAAATAGTGATCTTCTGAGTATATCAAAAAGAGGCCTTCCGATATCTCATTGGTGACCAGAGTATCAATTGGGGATCTACTGAGTATATCAAATGGTGACCTTCTGAGAATATCAAATGGTGACCCTCTGAGAATATCAAATGGTGACCCTCTGAGTGTATGAAAAGGAGGCCATCAGAATATCTCATATGGAGAGAATGTCAAATGGTGACCTACTGAATAAAATGGTAACCTTATTAGAATATCAGATCGTGACTTTCTGGGTATATCAAATCGTGACCTTCAAGGCATATCAAATCGTGTCCTTCTGAGTATATCAAATGGTGACCATCTGAGTGTATCAAAAAGAGGTCTTGTGAATATCCAAATGGTGACCTACTGAGTATATCAACAGGTGACTGTCCGAGAATATCAAATGGTGACCAAGGATTATCAAATGGTCACCCTCTGAGTGTATCAAACAAGGTTTCTGAATATCTCAAATGGTGACCTTCGAGAATATCGAACTGGAACCTTCTGAATATATCGAAATCAACGATGGGCCTATAGACAGATTCGTTAAATTCGGTCAAATACTGATTTGCTGGGAATACCAAACTGTGACCTTTTCAAATGCCAAATGATTGCAATGTTACAAATTGGTTATTGACTTCCTGAATATCAAGTTAATAGCAACGTGCACAATAGAAAATAATATATAAAACAAGAATCTAAAATGATTATACAGTGTATAAACTGTTAATAAAATATACCTACCCTGTATAGATTTATAATTGTTTACTGTCTTACTCTTAAGATATAGAAATTGAATCTGATATGACATAAATAATTTATATACCTACCACATGTTACCATAAAACCGCCTTTTGTGTGTTTATTTATTGTATTTTATTGTACTTATATCATACCATAATAATTTAACCTATTCAAAGAACAATTATTTGGGCCTATTTACCACTTGCTGAATTTAAATTTGGCTTGATATAGCTTAAATTTGTCAGACGTTCAACTCTAGCAATATGAAATTCTGTCAAAGAATAACAATGTTATTATGAAGTAAAAAAAAAAATATATAATTGCCAATGTTGAATGTAACAACATAGCATTGTAGGGTGGGTTATCGAAAAATAGTCACCAACTATATATTGTCTGAGCAAAGTAAAATACTGTTAGTCTTAGAATGTCTTTGCGTTGATAAAATATAAGCTTGAGCACACAATATTTCTTTAAAATTTGCTTTTACAGAAGACAATTTTCAGCAAAAATTTTATACCTTTTTGGGGTGAAATTTCTAGGAGAGAAATGTGTTTCTTTTATATAAACTTACAAAAGATTCTATTTTTATCAACGCAAAGACATTCGAGGACTATCAGTTGGTCTACTTCTTTGAGAATGATATTCCAATTCTCTTTAAAAATATCGAAAAAATTCTAAATCTTTTTGATTTGCTCAGACAATAGGTTTTAATAATGCCCCACCCCTACATAGCTGTGATATTCCTAGCTTCTACTCTTGGTTGAAACACCCCATGGTTTCCAGACTAAATAAGAAATTGTTAAATGTTAATCTCACCTCTTTCTATATCTCCCTGTAAATTTATAAACTAAGTGAAACATGTAAAGATATGAAAGGAGCGTCAATTTATCACAAACATTTCTTGTTAGTCAAGTTCAAGTCACCCACTTCACATGATTACTTCGTTTCCTTTTACTTGTTTCATCAAATCCTGTCTGATCTTTGACTAATATATTGTCACCGTAGAACAATAAGCCCGTAAATTACTTCTCAAAAGTCACAGTCGACTTGTCGCATTTCGAATTTTTGAATCTATTCCAAAATGAGTTCCTGTTAAGAGTTACTTTCGAATGCAGTTGATTTTTTTATGAATTAAATTTAGGTTTATGTGATCCAAATAAAAATCAGAACCAACCACCTACCCCATTTACATTATCCTCTTACAGTGCTTTCCCTTCATCAAAATGTAAACATTATGTAACTTACCACTATAATAAAGGTCCGATATATTTTAATATTTCCACACAGATATTAATTGATCAGAACTTCAGGTATACGATCTTAGAGTATGAACTGTTCATTGAGTATTATGAATATGCGTATAGACATTTTTACCCAAGGATATATACAATAAGGTATATGGAGCATACATTAAGAAAGGTGAACAAGATGATAGGTAATTAAGCTTGAGGCAATGATTACTAAATGAGACTATATTGTTAGCCAATGCCAGTAATAACAATAGTTAATAGGTAATTACTATATAAATTATCTATAGTCTCTGTGTGATTGATGTAAAGGTGTTGTTTTATCTTTTAAATTGCATGATGTGATCTATAACTTACGTCATCAAATTGATCTCACATACTTTCTTTATTTAAATATACTTGACCTAAGGATAATTGTGACCATAACAATATTCTCTTGTCCATGTGAACCAAAGGTAACTGCCGAGCATTTGCTTAGAATTGGGCATTTCTTATGATAATATGATTGGTGACACTTGCTTTTCAAACTTTATTATTGCCACTTTTTATCGAGTCCAATTCATCACAACGTTCCATCGAATAGCAAAGTTAGATGTTGAAAACAAACAACACATACGCAATGATTGATATAATTTCGTATATTAAAAAAAGTTAAGGTAATGCAATGTATATAGGGTAGTTACAATCAAAGAATAGACAAGGCAATGTAATGTACAGTGGTTACAATCAGAGAATAGACAAGTTAATGTAATGTATGGTGGTTACAATGAAACAATAGACAAGATAATGTAATGTATGGTGGTTACAATGAAACAATAGACAAGATAATGTTATGTATGGTGGTTACAATCAAAGAATAGACAAGATAATGTTATGTATGGTGATTACAATCAAAGAATAGACAAGTTAATGTAATGTATGGTGGTTACAATGAAACAATAGACAAGACAAGATAATGTAATGTATGGTGGTTACAATGAAAAAGTAGACAAGATAGTGTAATGTATGGTGGTTACAATGAAACAATAGACAAGATAATGTAATGTATGGTGGTTACAATGAAAGAATAGATAAGATAATGTAATGTACAGTGGTTACAATCAGAGAATAGACAAGTTAATGTAATGTATGGTGGTAACAATGAAACAATAGACAAGATAATGTAATGTATGGTGGTTACAATGAAACAATAGACAAGATAATGTTATGTATGGTGGTTACAATCAAAGAATAGACAAGATAATATAATGTGTGGTGGTTACAATCAGAGAATAGACAAGATAATGTAATGTGTGGTGATTACAATCAAAGAATAGACAAGATAGTGTAATGTATGGTGGTTACAATGAAAGAATAGACAAGTTAATGTAATGTATGGTGGTTACAATGAAAGAATAGACAAGATAATGTAATGTACAGTGGTTACAATGAAAGAATAGACAAGATAATGTAATGTACAGTGCTAACAATGAAAGAATAGACAAGATAATGTTATGTATGGTGATTACAATCAAAGAATAGACAAGATAATGTAATGTATGGTGGTTACAATGAAACAATAGCCAAGATAATGTAATGTATGGTGGTTACAATGGAAATATAGACAAGTTAATGTAATGTATGGTGGTTACAATCAAAGAATAGATAAGATAATGTAATGTATGGTGGTTACAATCAAAGAATAGACAAGATAATGTAATGTATGGTGGTTACAATGAAAGAAAAGACAAGATAATGTAATGTGCGGTGGTTACAATCAGAGAATAGACAAAATAATGTAATGTGCGGTGTGTATGGTCGTTACAATGAAAAAGTAGACAAGATAATGTAATGCATGGTGGTTACAATCAAAGAATAGACAAGATAATGTAATGTGCGGTGGTTACAATCAAAGAATAGACAAGATAATGTAATGTGAGGTGGTTACAATCAGAGAATAGACAAGATAATGTAATGTATGGTGGTTACAATCAGAGAATAGACAAGATAATGTAATGTATGGTGGTTAAAATGAAACAATAGACAATATAATGTTATGTATGGTGGTTACAATCAGAGAATAGACAAGATAATGTAATCTATGGTGCTTACAATTAAAGAATAGACAAGATAATGTAATGTATGGTGGTTACAATCAAAGAATAGACAAGATAATGTAATGTACAGTGATTACAATCAGAGAATAGACAAGATAATGTAATGTGAGGTGGTTACAATCAGAGAATAGACAAGATAATGTAATGTATGGGGGTTACAATCAGAGAATAGACAAGATAATGTAATGTTTGGTGGTTACAATCAAAGAATAGACAAGATAGTGTAATTTATGATGGTTACAATCAAAGAATAGACAAGATAATGTAATGTATGGTGGTTACAATCAGAGAATAGACAAGATAATGTAATGTGTGGTGGTTACAATGAAACAATAGCCAAGATAATGTAATGTATGGTGGTTACAATGAAAATGTAGACAAGTTAATTTGATGTATGGTGGTTACAATCAAAGAATAGACAAGATAATGTAATGTATGATGGTTACATTGAAAGAATAGACAAGATAATATAATGTATGGTGGTTACAATGAAAGAATAGACAAGATAATATAATGTATGGTGGTTACAATCAAAGAATAGACAAGAAAATGTAATGTATGGTCGTTACAATCAAAGAATAGACAATATAATGTAATGTATGGTCGTTACAATGAAAAAGTAAACAAGATAATGTAATGCATGGTGGTTACGATCAAAGAATAGACAAGATAATATAATGTGTGGTGGTTACAAT